GGGCAGATGTCTTCACTGTATCTGGTTGTGATTCCCAGGTTGTGCCCATCAGCTTTCGAATGATGTTATTTCTAGCACCCGCTTTTGCTTGATAATCAAGCAGTGCTTCTTCTAAGTCGGAGCATGGTCCAGAGTGACTCCCAGGTATTAGGGTATGCTCAGCCTATCTTACTTGCAGTGTAGAGATCCCTATTTATTTTTATCTTATGTATTTTATTTATGTCCATCTCTCTCCCGATGGCCCTGATGGTGCAGATTAAACCATTGAGCTGCTGAACTCGCTGACTGAAAGGTTGTCGGTTCGAATCTAGGGAGTGAGGTGAGTTCCCATGGTTAGTCCCAGCTTCTGCCAACTTAGCAGTTTGAAAACATGAACATGTGAGTAGATCAATAGGTACTGCTCTGGTGGGAAAGTAACAGCTCTCCGTGTGGTCATGCTGGCCTTGGAGGCATCTATGGACAATGCCGGCTCTTTGGCTTAGAAATGGAGATGAGCACTACCCCACAGAGTTGGACACAACTAGACTTAATTTCAAGGGGAAACCTTTACCTTTAAGTTTTTACATGCTTTAAAAGCTCAAAAGGATAGATATCAATCTCATGTGGTTATTAAGAGGCAAGAAAAAAACCCTACTGGTATGGTTTTCTTTCCCAGTTTTTTAAACCTCAATTTCTTCCTTCTTGAAAGAAAATCAGAAAAAGTGATGGTTATCTAAATTACATTATTTGAATATACTTAGGTTTGAATTTGAACTTTTAAGCATGAGTTAAGAAATAAATGAGCTGAGATTTAAAAAATTACTCATTCTTACTGACAGTTGCTAATAAGTTCATCAGATTTGCTCCCATGCACTTATGCAAAAGACTGCTAGGGAAGTTGTCATTATTTTATCACATGAGACCCAAGAAAGCAGGAAAGCAGCCTACAGGCATGGTTATTAATATGCACACCCCCCCCTTTTTTTAAAGAAAGGTTATTAATCAAGGGGGGCCTCCAGTTAATTCTCACATGGTCAATAAAAGTCCATCCATCTTCTGCCTCATTTTCATTTAATAGCTGATATTCCTCTATTTCAGTGTTTCTCAACCTTCCTAATGCAGTGACCCCTTAATACAGTTCTTCATGTTGTAGTGAACCCCAACCATAACATTATTTTTATTGCTACTTCATAACTGAAATTTTGCTACTGTTATGAATCGTAATGTAAATATCTGATATGCAGGATATATTTTAATTCACTGGACCAAATTTGACACAAATACCTGATACACCGACATTTGAATACTGGTGGGTGGTGTGGGGATTGATTTTGTCATTTAGGAGTTGTAGTTGCTGGGATTTATAGTTCACCTATAATCAAAGAGCATTCTGCACCCCACCAATGATAGAATTGAACCAAACTTGGCACACAAAACTCCCGTGACCAACAGAAAATACTGGAAGGGTTTGATGGGCATTGATCTTGAATTTTGGAGATGTCGTTCAGAGAGCACTGTGGACTCAAACAATGATGGATCTGGACCAAACTTGGCATGAATACTCAATATGGCCAAAGTGAACACTGGTAGAGTTTGGGGAAAAGAGACCTTGACATTTGGGAGCTGTAGTTGCTCTGATTAATAGTTCACCTACAATCAAAGAGCATTGTGAACCCCAACAATGAAAGAATTGGGCCAAACTTCTCACACAGAACCCCTATGACCAACAGAAATACTGTGTTTTCTGATGGTCTTTGGTGACCCCTTTGACACCCCCTCACAACCCCCCCCCCCCCATGGGTCTTGATCTTTAAGTTGACAAACACTGCTCTATCTGAATCTCAGTAATGGTAGTTCTCATTAGAAGATTCTCCAAACATTAGCCACACCATGAGCAGGTAAGGATACATCAGTAACCACTTTCACCTGAACATAACATTTTTTTAAAAGCACTTGCAACAAAATGTAGCAGCATTACTGTTCACTGCTCTAGCAAGGCACACATATCATTCCACGTGATTCCCCATTCCATTTAAAGGTACCTGAGAACAAAATAGTCCTTCCTGTGTTTTTGTTGGGATAGCATGGATATCTCTGCAAATCTCAAGGTCCCACGCAAGTGAAAACTCTCAATTGTGTGTTGAGATACAGTAATTGTGTCATTGCCTCTGTCAGAGAAAAGAAGGTAAAACAGCATACAAAACTAAGAATAAAAATGGGAATCTTGTGGCACCTTTAATAGATTTGTTATAATTATGAGGATTGGAATTAGTATCATTTGTTGCCACTGTTTAAGCACAAGATTCTTTCAGCCTTCTTATGCTGAAAGAAGCGACCATTTGGAAAACAAATTAAGGTTTGCCTCATCTGTAATAATCTTGTTTTTAAAAAACGACACCACCCCTTCATCAGAATTCAGGAATTCCCTCCTCCACTGCTGCCAACCAACCCCCAGCTTTCGCCCTTCCCTCCCAATCCATTTTGCGTCATGTCCCCCTGCTGCTGAGCACAGCTGCTTAAGCCAGCCTGATAACAGGGCAAGCAGCAGGAGAGAAAGGGCAACAGCTGCTATCCCCCGCCCCAAAAATATATGCAGGAGACACAGCAACCCTCAGAGCTGTCACTCAAGACATTTTCCCAAGTGGAGCAAATGCTCTGATCTCTATTTGTCCTCTTGACTTCGTTTATTTCTTAGTAGCTGACTATGAATTGTATTGGTGTTCCTCAAATTTTATATCTATCAGGCATAAAGTGTTTATGTTCTGTCTTAAAATTTGAAGTCAGCCTTGATTTTAAACTTTGCAGTATTTCATGACCAGCTTCTAAGGGTTCTCCTTTTCAACTGCAGAACTGTTACCATTAGTATTAAGATCTTTATACTCCAATGTCATTACTTTACCTCTCAAAATATTCCTCAGTTTCCACAGGCCCAAGTAATTAGAGGAAAATATTAGAGGAAAAAGTTTCTCAAGTTGCTCCTGACCAAAAAAAAAAAAAAAAAAAAAAGAGAGAGGAAAAGATCTAACTTCTAACTGAAAAGTATATTTTTGTGTCTTAAGAGACTGCAAAATCAACCCAAGCAATGTCTCACATCTTCAGAAATGTATAATAGGACAACTGCACCAAAGAAAGAAATTCCTAAAAAAAACTAGTAACTGGGTCTTCTTAACCTTCCCTGACCCAATTTTGAGATCTCACCACAAATTCAAATGAAAGCTGGACTATGGCAGTACAGAACTTCATCTAACCAATTTATCACAACTAATTTGGTAAATTCAAAAATTCTGATGTAAGCCTAGTTGAGCATTAGTCATCTCAGAAGTGAGAGATATAAGCTTTTATTGTTTTGGAGCTGTTTGATTGACAAGCAGACTGGGACCATATCTGTGCCATATTATTTACTTTCTTTCCCAGAAACTTGTTGTGAGCTAAAAGCTGGTGACTGACAGACTAAAACTGATTTAAGGTTTGGCCCCTTGGTAAACTATGGATTAAATGACAAGAAAAGACATCCCCATCCATCTCTAACATATTTTTTTTATTTCTAGCATGGCCATACTTGAAGTACACTCCCAACCTCTCAAAAAGGATTTGGCAAGTTGGACAAGATAAGCAAAGTTCCCTATGAGGTGATGCACAAGGATGGCTATGAGAGAACATTGTATTGTCAACTCAGATGAATTTAAAAAGAAAACAGGAATTAGGGGAAGATAGCGCTATCTGCTAGGCATAATGGCTACATGTTACCTCCACATATGAAAAGCAACATACTAGACTTATGTGTGGAATTCGTTTCTTCCATTTTCTTCGTTTCTTCAGGAGCACAGAACAGGAAGGCCCCTCTCATTACGAGAATCAATTCGACACGAAAGCAAGCAGGAGTGGATCCCGGCTCTTGGCCTGCTTTTCAGCATCACAGAGTAAGAGGCGCTCAGCTGTAGGCCCTGGCAAGTGTGAGTCCTCTGGGCCTACACACCATACACTCACTCTCCTTGGAAAGAGGGTGCATATGTGGTGTGCAAGAGTGCCCACGCCTGCCAGGGCTTGCAGCCGAGCACCTCCTCTACAATAGAAACAGCATGTAAGAAGCCTTCTTAAAGCATGCGCCAAGAAGGGAAGCCTGCATGGGAAGCTCCCCCCACCGCTCATTATGGGCCGATAGAAAAACAGATCTTTTAGCACCGGATACCTGTCCTCCCAATTTCAAGAAACTCCCAAAACAACGGATCGGGGCCCCCACCAAAAGCCAGGACATGAAAAGGGTCAGAGTTTACCCCAAATGCATAACCCTACAACATACTTCTAATCCTACTTTTTAAAACTTAATTTTACACTTACATCCCAAAGGTTTAAATATAATGTTTCAATATAATAAGAACAGGGACACAAAAACATGAAAATAACATCCTACTTGGTGAGAAATAAAAAGTGCCTCCATGTGTTCCTTACACATTTGCCTGACTACTTTGGGAAGTTAATGTTGGATTAGAGCTTTGATCTGATCCAGCAGAGCTCTTCTTTGGCTCTAAACCATTAAAATCAAAACTGTCTCCGACAGCATTTTTTTAGAAAAGCATTATACCCTCGGAATGAAGATGAAAGATTCTATCCCTGCATAAGAAAGTGAATGTCAAGCAAAAAAATGCATCTTGGTTGACACATCCCAAAACAGAATCTCTGAATGATCTGCTTACCAGGCATAAAGATTAAAAAAAACCACTATAGGAGAAAATCTAATTACTTAGTTTTAGATATTCCATCCCAATACTTTTACATTCAAGTTACTGCCTAAATGGCAGGTATGGCAAACTAATGTCTCTTTAATGTGGTCACCTACACAGATCAATGATGGGAGCAACAAAACAAAGAACAGGCACTTGGCGAACTCAAGCCCCTAGAAAATCACTGTCTCCTATTGATTTTAATATTTTTTTCAGTCTTAATCCAGATATTCTTTCCTGAATATATCATGAAGAAATGAGGTTGTAGCTAATCATTTAAAAAAGCACCCTGAAAATAGATTTTATAAGCAAACATTAGTTTAATTGATCTCCACCTCTAAACAATAATTAAAAACACAAAAGCATGGTACAAAATTTTAAGACAGAAACGAACAATCAGAAGGCAAAAAAGTGTGTGTCAGACGAAACAGATAAGGTTAGAGTTTAAAACATTCCAAGACCCGGTCTGAGTAGTGAAATTTGGCAACCCTGCAACTAGAGTATGGGGAGAAAGTTCTAAGCTGCCCCTTTGTTTTCAATATACAGACACAACCTTAAAATCAACTTTCCTGTAGAGCTTCTTCTCAGTTTTAAACCGAGTGTAAACTTAAATGCTAATCCATCAAGGTAGAAACAAAATGAAGTATAGATGAAAAAAGGAATAAAATTCAGACAAGTATTTCACAGCTTTGGCTTTAGTCTGTAGTTGACCTTCGGTACCAAAATCGAGCTCTGTAGTCGTCACTGCAAGTCATGAAGCCAGGATTGGTAGGAGAATGGACAATGCAGCGAACAATGCTGTTGTGCCCCAAGGAAAGAAGGTTCCTCCTTTCAGCGGTTCGTGAGTCCCAGCAACAAAGGCTAATGGTCCTTTCATCCGGAAGCAGTACATAGTCTTCTGTGTGGTTGAAGACAGCCTGTGTCCTATGAACCTGGCGACCACTCAGACCCGCTCCTGCAGACGTGGCAACATATGTGTATCATTAACAAAGTGGCAGATTTTAAAAACTAAAATGAATCTGTTCATAATGAGTAATACACTGGGTCCACTTCTGCTCTCTCATTACAACAATTAGTTTCCAAAAAGGTAATCAATAATCAGAATTGTCTTTTATAAGAAAGTGCACATGTCCCTGTTGGTGCTTTTAGATCTCTCAGCAGCTTTCTGTACCATTGACCATGGTGTCTTTCTGGGGCTAGGCATCAGAGGCACTGTGTAAAAATGGTTCTGGTCAGTGCTTAGGAATAGCTGTTCCTCAAAAAAGGAACTATTATGTGGCATCCCACAAGGGGTCATTCTATCCCCAATGCTTTTTAATATTTACATGGCATGGGGTTATCAGTATGCCGATGATACCCAAATATATTTCTCCATGCCTTCAAAATCAGCTTTAGCTATGGATAGCATGTGCCCTCTAAATTAATGCCTGCAGAAGGTAATGGGCTGGATGAAGAAACACAAATTGAACATGAATCCAGACTAGACAGAAGTGCTTGCCATTGAGCATCCTGACCTGGGGGTAGAAGTGTGTTGTTCCCTGCCTGCGAGGAGAGGCAAGTAATAAATTGTTGATGCTATTATTATTGTTATTATTATTTCCCAGATTATGTCTAAAAAATGACAGTTGCCCAGGGCTAATATTAGAAGTCAGGGCAAGATTATTAGACCAGATTATAAGCCAGAGAGGAAACACATTGAATAAATGTGTTTCATATTTATCTCCAGTTAGGTTGCAATGGTTCAATCAATCTTCCATTAAAAGGCAAAGTATAAATAACCATTAACATTTTTGAGAGAGATTGACTACTACCTTCAAGGATGCTAAGAATTTTCCTCACAAGCACTGAAGGTTTTGCAACATCATAGCTGAATTTTTAATCCACTTCTGTGCCTTTAACAACAGCAAAATTCATTTAACCTCATGATCTAGGTAGTTTTCTTCTAGTTTAATAAATCACCCAACTAAGAGCTTTCACCCTGGCCAGTTGGACATGACCAGACTTAGTGTCAAGGGGAAATCTTTACCTTTACTTAATTAATTGAAGCAGTTTTAATAACGAGGATGATTCTAGCCAAACATCTTTTCTATGGTGCCGAGTCATTTTATTCTGAAGTAGCAAGTATGTTATGGGATCATATGGCCCAGTAACTGGATAAAGTCATAGATGGCCACACTTCTTACACCAACCTAAATAGGTCTGTGAGAAAATACTATGCCGGTGGGATAATGGCAGAGGAAAGCCATGGCATAGTCTTTCAAATAGCCACTCTTTGCTGCAAATATTTTGCCACCTGCACTTAAACTAAACTGTCCCACGAAACTAATGTACTGCTTTCCCAGGAAGGGCAACCACAATATGCATACTAAGGACCTGCTAGTGTTTGAAAACCTCTCCTTTTTCGTCAAGGAAGCACCTAACAATAAATGATAGGCCTTGGCTGCACCCTGGTGGTTAAAAGGTTATAAACTGAAATACAAGGCATGTCTCTTAGGAGTTTATTTGTAGAGTTTGCACTCCAATGTACATGGAAACTCATGATATTGTACATGTAACAAAATGAAAGGGAAATTGATCAAGCAAAAAATTCCCATTTTATACTTTAATGTTGCTTTTTAAAACCAGCCACTTGAAAGGATATAAGGAAGGAAACTACTATATATTGTGTGTGTGTTTGCCTTCAAATAGAAGTGAGGCACAGACCCACAATACTACAGTTGGTCTAAGAGCAGTGCAAGGGCACAAGTAATCACTGGACAAATCTGAAAATAGTACTCTTATTTTTTCCTATATTCTAAGAGGAGTTTTTTGGCAGAATCACAGACCCTAAATTAAATAAATAAAATACAAGAAGTTAATCACTGATCAAAATATTGTTTTCTTGTAGATCCAGGAAAAGATATAGATAAGATCACTTCTGCAGGTTTATGGTTTGTGGGATCACTACTGTGAGTGCACGAGTGGAAAAAAGAACGTACTGTTTAGGTTTGGTTTTACTCACCTGTATATTTGACCAGCGTTCTCCCTGTGGATATCTCCCAGAGTTTGGCTACTGAGTCCTTTCCACTTGAGAGAATATACTTTGAATTCTTGGAAAAAATGGCAGAACAGACTTCAGCCCCATCGTGTGCTTTTTCAAAAGTAGTGATACAACGATTTGAAACACCATCCCACAACTTGATACATCCATCTTTGCTGCCCGTCACATACATGTTAGCACTTGCATTGTAATTAACTGAGCAGATGGCATCTGTGTGCTGGTCTTGAGGATTACAAGACACAAAGCACTGGAAAGTGTTAACGTCATACAGTCGCAGGGTAGGATGCTGGGTCCCGACAAGTATGAAGTCTCCAGAAGGATGGAACGAGATAGAACGCAGCATCTCTGCTTCCTGTTTAGTTGGAAAATAGGGAATTAGTATGTGTGATGGAACTGTATAGATCCCAGTGCATTTGTTAGGCTGTCTCACCCACAGCTTGGGAGTACCCATTTTTCTGTTAGCTTTATGAGGCTGGAGCGTAAGGAAACCTTTTCTGGTTTGGAGCAGTAAATTGGCTCACTCCTTTGCCTGTGGAGTGGAAGCCATTTTAGATTAGAGTCATTATCACCAGGGAATCTTGGAAGCAAGACGTGTCTCTAGTGAAGAGACCTGTTCTCTCAACCTCCAGCCTGATCACCTTGGGCATCGGGCGCCCCAGAGGCTCCTTTACCAGAGAAAGTCTTTCGTCTCCAGAATCATCTACTAGCAGTGACTTCAAGAACCACTAGTTACCTTCAAACTTTAAGTATAGACTTTGTTGTGGGGAAACCAAGATAGTGCCTGGGTGGAGATAGGTCCAAGGACAATTACTAAATTCATCACAATTTCTCTAAATAGTGTGGACATTGATTCTGTGGGGTTCCTTGCTCAAACAGGAAGGCAAACCAGGAAGGTGATCCCCCAAGATGATAGAAAGTTAAGACACGTTCACACTTAGGACATTTAAAGCAGTTTGGGTGTGACAGCACAGTATGGAAAGATATATCTGTATTATTACAACTTATCTAAATGTAAATTGGTGCTGGCTGCTGTTCAGGATAAATTAATGACTAAAGAAGAGCACTACTACCTAAACAAGCCAAAGTGGGCATAATTAAAAATATTGCTGAGCGAAAGGTTGGTGGTTCGAATCTGGGGAGCGGGGTAAGCTCCCACTGGTATGCCCAGCTTCTGCCAACCTAGCAGTTCAAAAACATGCAAATGTGAGTAGATCAATAGGTACTGCTTCTGCGGGAAGGTAACGGTGTTCCATGGAGTCATGCCAGCCACATGACCTTGGAGATGCCTACAGACAATGCCAGCTCTTCGGCTTAGAAATGGAGATGAGCACCCCCCCCCCCCCCCCCGAGTTGGACACGACTACACTTAAAGTCAGGGGAAAGCTTTACCTTTACCTTGTTAACATAATTTGGTAATGTATTTGCAAAACCACAAAAGGACAGTAAGTTCTTAGGGGCAGGAAGGAATGAGAAGCCTATTACACTCCTTCCACACTCAAAAGAAAGAAGATTTTAAAAATATGCTTCTCCTACATTGATCTGAATGCTGATCTAGTATATTGTTGCTTACAACGGTTGGCCCAAAAAGATGGCCTCTAAGAAGCTTTTGCTAGATACAGATTGACAAATATAAGGCAGAGACACAGGCTAGTTTAAATAGGAATCGCTATTTCAAAATTTTCAAAGTAGGTATCTGAACCCCAAAGCGGTCTTAATTCTTAACGTATTTACATATAACATTCCACAACATCAAAAGACTTGCAAATGAAGGCTTTTCTGAATCAATCGTTATTTTTCATGTTTCTTGTAAAATGTCTCACCTGAATATATTTAAAGGCTCTTTTGGCAGATGGTTTTGAATAGTCAAACAATTTAAGTGTATAATCTCTTGATCCTGAGGCAAGGATTTGTTCTGTTGGGTGGAAAGCTAAACAGGTCACCTCATCCACATGATCATAAAGAGTTCTAATAACTGGGTGGTTCTCCATGTTCTGCTGGGCTGTTTCATTCATCATAACCTAATAAAGATTAGAAAACAAAACACAGGAACCATGACCTTTTGATGCATGAAACAAATCACTAATAAATATAAGAATGGTGTTACCAATATGTGGAATGTGGTGAATCAATATATTGTTGCAACTACTATATAACAATGTGAACGTAAAAGTTTCTCATAAACAGCAACTTGTTAATAGACTGTTTTACAAATAGGATGAGACACTAAACGATCAGAATTTCCTAAAACCACATGAACTACCTCAATGGGCATAGCGCTCTTTGCCAACATTCTTTCTGTATCCAATATTTTTATTGAGGCATCAGCAGACCCTGTGGCTATTAACTGTCCATCTCTGCTATATGTAGCAACACGACACGGTCCTTTGTGGGATGTGACGTAACAGGTCTCATATTCTGAAGCCTCCGGAGACATAGTCTGCACATCTGCATCAAACTCCAAGTCAATTCCTGTGCCAGGAGCTACTGTATCAGAGCGCCCAATGGCATACTGAACGGCACTATCGTCATTTTCCATTCCTGCAGGGGGGAAAAGAGGCGAGTACAAGATTCTGTTTTCCAATACAGGGAAGACAAGTGTTGCTTCAATAATCTTCAAGACTTTTGAAGGTGAACAAGTGACATGAAAATTCTGCCATTCGTCTTGTTCATTTCACACTTCACACCTAACTTCATGACCATACTTTAAAGTCTGATTAATCAGGACATCAATTTCATACATGCAGGGGAGGAGCCATCCTATTCTTCAGAAGGGGATTTTAAAGATTTAACAACATGTCAGTATGATGCCTATTCAGAAGTATTAATGGGGCCTTCTCCAAAGTAAGTGTATGCACATTACTGACCAAATACCACTCATTTCCCCCCTAAAATTGAATCATTAATAAAAAATACCTGAGGTTGTAAAAGGTCCAATTCTGAAACTAAGATCTAGGGTGCACCTATACTGTAGAATTAATGCAGACTGACAACACTTTCACTCCCGTGGTTTAATACTTTGAGATCTTGGAAATTGTAGTTTTACCACATATTTTGCCTTCTCTGTGAAATAATGATGGTGCTCCACCAAACTACAAACCCCAGGATTCCCTAGCATCAATGTTTTCACATGTCATCTAACATGATCTTGCCAATGTGACCAATATAAAAATAGCATCACACCGCTTGACAAAAATATAAGAAATTTCTGTTTTGAGACCAAAACTTACCCACTTTAATAAGATGCAACAATTGTTCAGAGGGGGCACAAACAGACTGTGGCTTCACCTCATTTATCAAACCATTAGCAATGTTGATATAGCCATCATAGAGCAACTGACTTATTATCAGTTTATAAAGTTGCTGCCGGTCTTTCAAGCTTACTTTTGGCCTATACATGGTGAACAAAGGCTGTCTTCCAGCAGACTGAAACAAAGAGAAAATAATTGCATACAGGGATGGTAAGAAGACACTTATTATGTACTTTGCATTTATTTCTTTACATTTTTACCCCCTCTAAGTAGCAGCAAAGTATATATTTTTTGAAAAATACAAGCAATCAGAGACACACGAGGAAAAAATAAGAATCAAAGAGTAGGACAATAGTTCTTGTGGGTTTTTTCAGGCTATATGGCCATGTTCTAGAGGCATTTCTCCTGACGTTGCCTCTAGAAAATGGCCATATAGCCCGAAAAAACCCACAAGAACTGAGTGATTCCAGCCATGAAAGCCTTCGACAATACAGTAGAACAATAGTTCAGAATGAATGTGTGTCTAAAAGCATGCACATCAGACTCAAGGCCAGCAAGCTGAATCCAGCCCACCATGTCATTTTATGTGGACCTCCAGATGCTGGACCACAAGTCCTCATACTTAGACAACATGACTAAAGCTGATGGGAGCTGTGATACTGTAGCATCTGGAAGGCTGTTGTTTGTTCTGTTTAGTCAGGAAATTGGGGTTTGAGTTTAGATACAAGGATTGTAGATAAGATGCCTGACTTTAAAATGTCCCCTACTTCAGAGCCACAAGTGGTGTTGGGCTGCAATTACCATTATCCCCAGTCCACATGGCAAATAATGGGAGGTGTTGTTCAATAACATCCATAGATCCTCTGTGCTTTGATTCAATCGCCCTTTGTAGGCAACCACACGGTTGATGTGGCCCTCAATGAATATGACACCCAGGTCTAAAAATATGAAAAGTGCTCCTAATGCAAATGAAGGATTCTGGCATATTTTTTTTCTGAGGGGGCTTCTCCTGAGGATGGGAGTGTGACTTGCTATGGTCATCCACTGGGTTTCCATGGCAAAATTGGAGTTGAAACCTTGGCCTCTTATGCTGGATCTCTTATGCCAGAGTAGCCAGGTGAAATTATTTATACCAAACTCCTTTTATTTGGAATGAAGCTGTTTTTATTAATTGTGATGTATAACTGGATTGTTTAATTGTTTTATAATTGATGTTGATACACTTTTTATCTTATTATCTGTTTTGTTGGCATCGAATTGTGCCTTTTGTAAGCCACCCTGAGTCCCCCCTCGGGGGTTGAGAAGGGCAGGGTAGAAATGCGTGAAATAAATAAATAAATAAATAAATAGTGTGTTTTAGTAAAACTCAATCAAAAGGATGTAAGCCACCCTGAGCTCCCCCCCCCCCCCCCAAAAATAGGCATCCCACATCCGGGGATGGGATCCAAATATTTGGGACAAGTAGTGTTTTGGATCCCATTCCCCCGCCCCCGGATGTTGGATGCCTGTTGTTCAGGCCTGGGCAAACTTGGGCCCTCCAGGTGTTTTGGACTTCAACTCCCACAATTCTTAACAGCCTCAAGCCCTCACTTGCAGAGTGGGAAATGGAAAGGGCCTGAGGCTGAAAGGAATTGTGGGAGTTGAAGCTCAAACACCTGGAGGGCCCAAGTTTGACCATGCCTGCTGTAGTTGCATATATGTCATTGGACTCAAATCTTAATATGAAATTGCTCGGCCTGTATAACTCAAAATCCTATTTCTCTGCAGGAAATATGCTTGCAAGAACACCCAGGTGTCCAGTGGAGTTACTGGGCATACTATATCCTTTGTGCATATCTTTCTGTACACACACAGGCGGGGAGCACTAAAATATAAAACCAGGTGCTTGCAAAACATGTTATCTAGACAAAATGCAAAGATGCGATAGAATAAAAAGCAAATTGAGCAGCACGTGAAAGGCAGAGGATCAGGGGAAGGAGGGGGCGGGACTTTACAAGGCTTTAGAGCGGGAAAAGGCAGGGAGAGGGGGATCCAGAAAGCGAGGCGCGGTTCCTACCGGCCCGTCTTTTGGTCTCGGTCGATCTGCGCTCGAAACGGCTCCTGGAGGCCCGAGAGCGTCGGGAGGGGGCGGCGGCAAAGGCAGCGGGAGCGGGGCTGGAGGGAGGCCTGGCGGAGGAGGCGGAGCAGGAAGCGGCGGCGGAGGAGGCAGGAGCAGCCGGGACCGAGGGCCGCTCCGTCGAACAGGCTGCTGCACCGAGCACATCGATTGGAGCCGCAGCTGGAGGGCGGGGAAACCAAGCAAGGGTCACACGGAGCATGCGCCGACTCGCATGGAAGTGGCGAAGGCAGGATGACTGCAGTTTGGCACTACTTTTAATTGCCGTAACTCAATGCCTGGGAGTTGTTCTTTGGAGAGGCAGTCGCACTCTTTGGCAGACAAACTACAACTCCCAGGATTCCATACCACTGAGACATTGCACCTGAAATGGTGTCAAAACCCCATTCGTTGTACAGTGTACTGTAGGTGTACCCTGATGCATCCAATTACAAACTTGGGCTCTCCTGCAGTTTCGGACTTCAGCTCCCAGAAGCCTCGGTCAGTATGACCCAACAGCTAGGGGTTCTGGGAGTTGAAGTCCAAAAGCACCTCAGCTTAGGAATCACGTTCCACTTTAAATGCCATGGTGACATCCTGTGGGGTGTCTCTGGTGGCACAGTGGGTTAAACCCCTGTGCCGGCAGGACTGGTTCGAATCCAGGGAGAGGCGGATGAGCTCCCTCTATCAGCTCCAGCTCCTAATGCGGGGACATGAGAGAAGCCTCCCACAAGGATGATAAAACATCAAATCATCCAGGCGTCCCCTGTGCAACGTCCTTGCAGATGGCCAATTCTCTCACACCAGAAGCGACTTACAGTTTCTCAGGTTGCTCCTGACACGACAAAAAAAAAATCCTGTGGGGTTTTGTGGTTTGTAGTTTAGTGGGGTCCCAGAGCTCTTTGGTGGAGGATTCTAAATGCACTCCCAACTGTAAATCCCAGAATACTTTATAACAGAGGTCCTCAAACATTTTAAACAGAGGGCCAGATCGCAGTCCCTCAAACGGTTGGAGGGCCGGATTATAATTTGAAGAAAACATGAATTTGTAGTGCAAAAAACACATTAAAACAATACAATAATTAAAATGAATAACAATTTAAACAAATATAAACTTATTAGTATGTCAATGGGAAATGTGGGCCTGCTTTTGGCTGATGAAATAGGATTGTTGTTGTGTGCTTTCAAGTTGTTTCAAACTTAGGTCGAACAAGCAAGGGCCAGGTAAATGACCTTGGAGGACCGTATCTGGCCCCCGGGCCTTAGTTTGAGGACCCCTGCTTTATAACGTTGCCATGGAATTTAAGGTGGAACAATAGCACATGTAGTGTGGCATTGCAACTGAAGGGGCATGCACTCTGCACATTCTCTGGAGTCCCCTTCCTCACCTTTCTACGTCAGAAGGGGACTCCAGAGAACATGCTGAGTGCATGCCACCACCACTCCTTTAAAAGCTGTATAATAGGCATGTGGGTCTGTCATGTTACACATAGATTTCCAGCATTGGGTTGCTGTGAGTTTTCCGGGCTGTCTGACCATGTTCCAGAAACATTCTCTCCTGACATTTCACTCACATCTATGGCAGGCATCCCCAGAGGTCGTGAGTTTTGTGGGAAACAAGGCAAGTATATGACACACACACAAATTTCACATTTCCAGTTGGGTCCCACTTCCAAAATACCTCATTATGAACACATATGTTAAATCCAGAAAAATCCAAGACACTTAAGAGTCCAATGCATCTTGGGATATGGGATTCTCAACCTATATTTGTGCAATGCACAAACACACAATGAAAGGAAGTACTAGAAGTATCACTAATCCCAACCCACAATTTTACTGTCACTCAAACATCAAGATCTTGTAAAGCAGTGGTTTTCAACCTGTGGGTCCCAGGTGTTTTGGCCTACAACTCTCAGAAATCACTTTACCAGCTGGTAGGATTTCTGGATGTTGAAGGCCAAAATATCTGAGGACTCACAGGCTGAGAACCACTGTTGTAAAGGCTGCTGCCTTACTCATCAATAAACAGACTGTAGGAACATGGATGCAGAGAATCCTGAGCCTGAAAATAAGGTCTCCTGGGTAGGGTACAGCTTTTCAGCTTTAGAGCTAAAAACAAAAGTCCTGAAACGGTTTCCCACACCTGAATATATTTAGTCCTTCTAAACAACAACAAGTACATGGCCAAGCCTGTGCTTTATGAAAGTCTATAGTTATGTTTATATCCTGCTTTTCCTCCAATAAGTTAAAGGCAATATACATAGCTGTTCTTCTTCCCACTTTATACTAACAGCAACACTGTGAGGTAGATCTGGTTGGGAGAAAAGGACTGACTGGCCGAAGGTGACATTGCTTGCTTTAGAATTTAGTGGAACTGAAACTCCCAAGTCCCAATACAATATTTCTTAGCAGTGCACTACACTGGCTCCCCATAATGTGCTGTGGAGCTCAAGAGAGTGGAATATAAAATAAATTATATTCAGAGTCTGCCATTCCCATGGGGCCTCCAATCTATATAAATAAAAATGTAATGTTCGTTTGTGGGATTAACAGAACTCAAAAACCACTGGACGAATTGACACCAAATTTGGACACAAGATACCTAACAACCCAATGTATATCTTTCACTCAAAAAAACTGATTTTGTCATTTGGGAGTTGTAGTTGCTGGGATTTATAATTTACCTGCAATCAAAGAGCATTTTGAACCCCACCAACGATGGAATTGAACCAAACTTGGCACACAGTTCTCCAATGACCAACAGAAAATACTGGAAGGGTTTGGTGGGCAGTGTCCTTTGGTTTTGGAGTTGTAGTTCACCTACATCCAGAGATCACTGTGGACTCAAACAATGATGGATCTGGACCAAACTCTACACAAATACTCAATATACCCAAATGTGAGCACGGGTGGAGTTTGGAGAAAATAGAATCTTGACATTTGGGAGTTGTAGTTGCTGAGATTTATAGTTCACCTACAATCACAGAGCATTCTCAACCCCACCAACGATAGAATTGGGCCCAACCTCCCACATAGAACCCCCATGTAGGCCACAGCAACGCGTGGCAGGGGATGGCTAGTCCCAAATAAATATGGAAAGGACTGCTGCCTATATAATGGAAAAAATTCAATTACTATGTGGTGGATACGGTGCATCATAATCATGTTTGTTACCAATCTCTCCTTGCAGAATGGGGCAAGATAAAACATTACTATGAGGGTTGTTTTGGGCTTTGGGGGCATGAGTCGCCTAAGGGCTGAGAAAAGCGGTATATAAATGAAGTAAATAAATAAATAAATGTTCCAACAGCATTCTCTCCTAGCTAGCATCTGTGGCTGGCATCTTCAGTGGTTCTTTTGGCAGAGAAGTAAATGGAGTGTATATACACAGGTACAGTCCACTCGCTTCATTGCCAACAGAACCTCTGAAGATGCCAGCCACAGATTCAGCTGAAACATTAGGAGAGAATGCTGCTGGAACATGACTATACAGACCAATAAACTCACAGAAATCCAGTTATTTTGGCCATGAAAGTCTTTGACAATACAAGGATACAACATCATTAAAACAGACATAACACTTAAATTACAAAATACACACAAGGCCAACACTTAAAACACAGTACAGACAGTCCCTGGTTTAGAAACACTCAACTTACAAATTATTCATAGTTAAGAATGGGGGTGAGACAACAGGAAGTGAGAGAAATCTACCTCTCGGAAGGGAAATTCAGCCCTGAAAGATTTAATAATAATAATAATAATAATAATAATTCTTTATTTATATCTCACTTTTCTCCCTGAACGGAACCCAAAGCGGCTGACAACATTATAAAAACAATACAAATCAACATACACATGTAAAGCAATAACCTATAAAACCAAATTTACAATAGGGAATAAAAAACATCTAATGTAATTATTGTGGGAAACTCAACAAGAGAGATGGTAAACTTAGCATGACTCACTGCAAGTTAGCCTTCCTGCCATTCCAAGTAAGTGTTTTCATTAAAAGCCTGTGCTAACAGAAAGGCCTTTAGCTGCTTTTTGAAAGATGTCAGGGAGGGGACTGTTTTACCCTATTGAAAGCTTTATCATCATTCCTTGTTTCCACAAACCAAATTTTTCAAAATCCAATTATCAGAACCTATAGAACCTGTCTTGTTCATAACTTAGGGACTGCCTGTATTGGATTATACAGTGATTTCTTGTTATGATAACTGGTTTTCAACACCAGTTGCAGGAGAATGAATGTGTTTGTTCTGTTAAAAAAAGCAACAAATAAGTATTATTTGAAAAATAATTAAAAAGGTGCTTAAAGCAGGCTATTAAGAGTACCAGTGGCATCTTGTTATGATGATTTTTTTTTGTCGTGTCAGGAGCGACCTGAGAAACTGCAAGTCGCTCCTGTTGTGAGAGAATTGGCCATCTGCAAGGACGTTGCCCAGGGGACGCCCGGATGATTTGATGTTTTATCATCCTTGTGGGAGGCTTCTCTCATGTCCCCGCATGAGGAGCTGGAGCTGATAGAGGGAGCTCATCCGCCTCTCCCCGGATTCGAACCTGCAACCTGTCGGTCTTCAGTCCTGCCGGCACAGGGGTTTAACCCACTGCACCACCGCGGGGATGATTATAGTATGCATTGCTTTCAGGATGGTTTTCAAAACCAGGTGTAGGAGTGCTATTGTTGTTGTTTTTTTGCCATGTCAGGAGCGACTTGAAAAACTGCAAGTCGCTTCTGGTGTGGGAGAATTGGCCGTCTGCAAGGATGTTGCCCAGGGGACGCCTGGATGATTTGATGTTTTTATCATCCTTGTGGGAGGCTTCTCTCATGTCCCCACATGAGGTACTGGAGCTGATAGAGAGAGCTCATCCGCCTCTCCCCTTTGATTGTGGGCTTTCCATAGACAAGAGAGAAAAGGGAGATATAGAGTATGTCTCAACTGATCATTTAATGCAGTCTAAAACCAGTATTGCAGAATGTGGTTTCACTGTGCAGACACACAGGAAATCCAGTTTGTGGCCTGGATGGTGATTACATAAACCACATAGCACTGGTATGCATTACAGGACTTTTTTGGGGTGCGCTTTTGTGGAAGACTATTACCTGGTTGCCACCATTTGAAACTAGTTTTGAACTGTATTAAATGATCAGTGCAGGTGGGGCCATATTATCTTGTGGGGCCTTTTCAGAGGTAGCTCGTTTATCACTGTGGAAACTGCTAAACTAGAAATGCTTTCCACCTGATCATAGTTCTGGCATCAAGCCTTTTTTTCCTGACACCTCCATTACTTCTCACGCTGAACCCAAAGGCATAGCTTTATACTCACATCGGCCTCAAGAAATGGTAGCCGCATTGGCCACTGCTCATTGCTGCTCATGCCCCATGGAAGCTGGTGCCTGTCACATGTGGGAGTGATACGCCGATTTGACATCCTTCCTCACAGATTGAGCAAACTACCGTCCTTATTATACCTTCTTCACAATATCCATGTTTAAACCTTTCCTCAGGGACTGCAGGAATCCAGTCAAATGGAAACCATCTTTAAAAGCACATATCAATTTTACATCTATTTCTCCAAAGTCAGTCTCATACAGATTACAAAACACACAGGCAGGGAAATGGGCTTCTTCTGAAGTTCACGGTGCTTCTTTCAGTCGTTGTTTGTGTTGCGATGCAATTGACTGGCTTCTAGCCTGAAATGGTACAAGATAAATATTCTTTGTGGAAAATCCTAACCGGCTTTTGTATATTTTCATCAGTTGTTGTTAATGGAAGAGTCCCTCAGGTGCTTCTTACCCCATAAGAACAGCCTACAAAACCCACAGGCAGGGAAATGGGCTTCTTCTGAAGTTCACAGTGCTTCTTTCATTGGTTGTGTTGTGATGCAATTGACTGGCTTCTAGCCTGAAATGGTACGATATAACTACTCTTTGTGGAAAATCCTAACCGGCTTTTGTATATTTTCATCAGTTGTTAATGGAAGAGTCCCTCAGGTACGTCTTACCCCATAAGAACAGCCTACAAAACCCACAGGCAGGGAAATGGGCTTCTTCCGAAGTTCAGTGCTTCTTTCACTGGTTGTATTGTGATGCAATTGACTGGCTTCTAGCCTGAAATGGTACGATATAACTGCTCTTTGTGGAAAATCCTAACCGGCTTTTGTATATTTTCAGCAGTTGTTGTTAATGGAAGAGTCTCTCAAGTGCTTCTTACCCCATAATTGCCAAAACAACCACACGAGACATGACTCTCACAAAATGTGAGTGAAATCCTCTTCTTGACAGGTCTTGTACTCAATGGGTAAGAAAAGAAGGGTTGACTCTTAAGATATGCAGTTGTGAGCGAGAATATGGCATTTTTTAAATTAAAAAACCCATACAAGAGCACTATATCGTCTTCCCATAAATGCTGAAACTTCCTGATTGTCAGTAGTCGCTTTGGAAAAAATGTTAAGTCACAAATCCTGGCAAGTGTGACCCTTTTTGTGACTTTCTGATCAATCTAAATGTGTCAAGTCTTTCAAAGTCCTGATTAGGCCTCTTCCTTCCACAACTGGCTTCAAAGCTGAAGAGTACAAAACAGTTGCTTGTGGCCTTCCATTATCCTTCTATAACACAGCACAACATCCATTCCATATAAGTTTGGACTACAAACTTAGCATTTAAACATTTGAGGCAGGCGATGGGTTTGGATTGACACCACCAAGATCTCATTTCAAACAGAGAAGAGCAACGCTCTCCTTCCCAACACTGAGAGAAGGGGGCGTGGCGAAGCGAAGCGAAGCGCAACTGGCGGAAGAGTAAACGGTAACCAGTGGGGGCAGCGTTGCGCAAACGGCGTAGGGAGCGCACGCGCCAGAAAAAAATCAAGCGTTAAGCTTAACAACCAGGAAGTGAAGCGTTGGGGAAGGTTCCACAGACCACGCCCCCTTCCAATTCAAATCCCTCTATATCTTTTTTTTGGTGTTGTGTTTGACGCATGCGTAGTAGAGGTGATCCTTGGGAGGCCCCGTTTCTTTTCAGCTGAGACAGTTGGAACCGAGGGAAGGGGGCGGGCCCTGACGCGGAGACAGCCAATCAGCGAGTGGACGCCGGAGCAGGAAAGGGAGATGATTGACCAATCGTAGCGCGGGAATGGTTTAAAGGGCGTTGAAGGAGGCGGGCGGAAGTTTGAATTCAAACGCTCGTCGGAAGTGCAGAGTGGTGTGGAGTGGAGGTGAGTGGGTCTTCTCGGGAGTCTTCCACAGCGTTTTAATCTGGAAGCCTCAACTCAGGGACTCTCTTGCGTGGTATCTATCTTCTCTAAGCCTTTTTGGGAACTTTTTTTGGGTTGGGAAGAGTTTGAAGCATAAATAACAAGCCTTTAGGAGCAACCACTGCAGGAAATTGGTGAGCATACAGTGGGCGGAAAGGGTGGGAGTTGTAGTCCAAATTAGCCTTTCCCATGCCCTGGATAGAGACTGGAGAAGCAACACACTGCATGGATAATGCAGTTTGAGGCTGTTTCAACTATGCTGGAGAGTCCTGGGAGTTGTAGTTTGAAAAGGTTTCTATCTCAGTGCTTCTCAACCTGGGGTCCCCGGATGTTTTTGGCCGACAATTCCCAACCAGTTTACCAGCTGTTGGGATTTCTGGAAGTTGAAGGCCAAAAACATCTGGGGGCCCCAGGTTGAGAACCACTCCTCTATCTTCTGCCAAAGAGAAGAATGAAGACTACAAATCCCGGGATTCTACAGGGTAGAGAAGGCATGTACAAACTTTGGACCTTCAGGTGTTTGGGATTGCAACTAACAGCCAGTATGTGTCAATAGTTCATCACCCTAGGCCAATGTTAATAATAATAATAATAATATACTTTATATTCTGCTCTATCTTCCTGAGGGGACTCATATGGCAAACATTCAATGCTGTTATAAAATTGGCAGAAACAGACAATACTTAATAATAATAATAATTATTTATTTGATTAGTCATATGACCATTTCAAAATAGAAATTTATAGTCAGAATCTTATTTTCCTGGTAACAGACAATACATAAACAGAGCAAGGCATCCCTCTTTTCATCTCTGCTTGACTCGGCCATGGAGCTGTGCTGTTGTTTCATTTTCCATGCCAAGGAGACTGACTCCCATAGATGCCTTTCCTGGTCAGTTTTTTGCTGGCATGTTTTTTCAGGTTGCCTTTTACCTCTCCGCTAAAGCAGCACCTATTTATCTACTTACATTGTTTTCAAACTCCTAGGTGATCAGAAGCTGGGCTGATGGCCGGGAGCTCACCCCAACCTGGGTTTGAATCCTTCTGGTCAGCAGAATCTTCTATAGCAGGCGGTTTAAGCCATATATGATGGGGGCAGTATTTTTCAGGTTTTTGAGAATCTGGCACCATTGTATTGTTCCCCACACCTGAACCTGCAAATTCTTCAGGTGCGTGGTGCAGGCAGCCACCAAGTTACAAACAATATTCTTAAGTTGAATTTGTATGTAAATTGGAACAAGTACATTAAAAAGTGTAATTCCAGATAGATAGACGTTTCAGATAGCATAGGGAAGGGTTAATACCCCTGTGATGTTTGGTATGCTGTCTGTGCCCCTGTTCAGAAGATTTCACCTCACTTCCTGTCCCTGTAGATTTTGAAAAAAAAATTGCTTGTTCTGGAAATAAGGCTTGGTGAGAAAACCAGTGGGGAAATCGTTTCCCCATTGTCACTCTTCCAGGATGAATTTCTCTTCTGAGGGATACATTACTCTCACTTGCTGTTGTCTTGCCCCTGTCCTTAACTATGAGTTGTTTGTAAGTTGTATGTTTGTTACTTGGGAACCACTTATATGTGTATTCTTGATTGATAAGCTGCTTTGCAAAGATGGGAGGTTTGAATCCATGAGACGGAATGAGCTCCTGTCTTTCAGCTCCAGCTTCCCATGTGGAGAAATGAGAGAACCCTCCCACAGGATGGTAACACATCTGGGTGTCCTCTGGGCAATACCTTTACAGACAGCCAATTCTCTCATACTGGAAGCGACTAGCAGTTTCTCAAGTCACTTCTGACATGAAAAAAAGCTGCTTTGCTATAACCTTTAAAACTGAGACCCCGTCTCCATGGACCATTTAATGCAGTCCAAAACTAGCTTTGCAGCCAGGCAGCAAATGCCTCAAAAACATGTCCGAAAGAAAACTCTCAAATGCACACTAGAGCTCTGGTTTGTGTAATCACCCTCCAGGCTTCATTGCTGGCTTCAACCTGCCTTAAATGATTAGTGTAGATGGTGGCCTAAACAGCAAATCCTACCTGCCCCTTAGGTCATAATAAAATTCCTTCCTGGATTACTGTTATTGGGCATTGCCACATATCTGTTAAGTCTATTAATTAGTACCTGAACTGGAATGTCCTGGTGTCTCCTTTTTGCTCTGATCCGGTGTGGGATATGTGTGTGCCTTCAAGTTTCCAGCCTATTTATGCACTTTATCCACTAGCCCTATCCTCAAAAATGGATTTACACCACTCTGCCCACCCGTGCCCAGAAACTGATTATTAGGTTCATTGTTTGTTGGTTATTTAGGGTGATATTAGGAATTTCACATATTTTTTCTTGGGCAAGGAATACATATATGTGTGTGTTTTTTTCCAGTTTCCTTCTCAGAAATATAGGCCACAGTACCTCTAATTTATTGTCCAAATAATTTCATTGATGTGAAGGTTTGGACATCAGAATGAACTGGTGAAAGTAATCAATGTAATGGTCTTAAGTTTTCAAGGCATGCTTTTTAAGAATCATTTGCTCACATTATTTAAAAAATAATCTCAGATTTTTAGAGTCATGTTGGAATATCAAAAACCTGGTAATTTTATCCTACACATGTTAAATGACTAAACTTCTTCCTTTTTCCTCAAGCAATAATGGAAAAAATAGGTAAAGAGAACTTGAATGGACATCCATGTCATCATAGCAAGGTAAAATTTTCATTCCAGATGTTAGATAGTGTCAGTATTAGTTTTGCAAGTTTAAGAGCAAATGTTTTCAGCTGAAATTTCATCCGTAATATGCTTTCAGTTGATGATTGTAGGATATAGTATCCACAGAGCTGTTCTCACAGTAGTTTGTAGAATAACACACAATGCCCTTTGTAACACTGGTTTGAGACAGCCTTGGGCTTATGCATTCTCACTTCTCCATGTATGATGGAAGGGAGGGAGTGCTGTTTGTTTTTTAAAAAAATGCTAAACTAATCTCCATTTCAAGGTAGCTATTCCTGCAAATCCTCAGATGTATAAACTATACATCTGGTATTTTTTTTCTACTCAACGTAAATTGAGATTACAGTATTTCCATTCAAATCTTTTTCTTCATTTGTGGAGGAAGTGTTGGTGGCCCAGGGATGCTCTCGGGAATTAAAAAATATCATTCAGCTTATCGTGATAAGTGGTTCTTTGTACTCTAGTAGTTTTCAGTATAATTATTACAATTCTATAATGGAATCTGTTCCTCATTTATCTTTCTGTTGTCCTCTGATGAACAATCAGTGTGAACATCATGGTTTCTAAGAGTTTGGAATTCCTTTAGGGCTGAATATAATGAATTATTTGGAATACAATGCAATTTTACTTTTTTTCTTAATGAAAGTGATTGTAATATCTAGTTTAAATATCTATTGTAAAAATTTTCAGTGTAGATCTTGCTCAACCCAGCAAGTATCTTCACACTCTCCATACCATACGACAACAAATTGCAGTAAAGATTGGGAAGTCTGATTTTCTCCCCTTCCAGCAATGGGCCACAGATCTGAAAGTCCCTTTGCTCCAGTTCATTGGTAGATTACAGGGTGATGGTTGTAAGTTTGTAAAAAAGCTGTGTACTGACTAGAGTTTTCTAGTTTCAGTTTAATGTTGTGAGGATGTTCTTACTTTGGCTTGTTTGGACAAAACATGATCTGAGACCTCTTGGTCTCTTGTACTTCACATTGCTATGCAGATGTGGGCCAGTGCTGGATGATGTTTTGAAGCTCGTTCTAGCTTTGTTTTGCATGATTGTAAAGAGAAAATTGCTAAAATTGTCAAACAAGCTTGGCTTGACAGATTACCTTATCTGTTATGGAGATGGCTGATGCTGTTCTTTTCAATAGCCAAGAGATGTTTGAATGACATGTCCCATCCTATTTTCCCTACTCCAGCAGCAGGTAGCCTATCTATAAGCAGAACACAGAAAATCAAACTGACCGTTTCCTTTGGAAGATAGGGGGGCAGTAAAATTTTACGTAATATTTACAGGTATGCTTTTCTAAAACAGGCAGCTGCTATGGGTGGTCCAAAGCGTGTTCCAGTGGCCCAGAACAGGATACATGGAAATAAGGTTCAAGCACATTGTGTTCTAACACCTACAAATGTTCCTCAGCGAGTTCCTATCCAGCCACAAAAACCTGCTATCCCAAGTTCAAAACACTCCAGCCAGTTAAATCAGCCAACATCTCATGTTCAACCAACCTCAAAAAGTCTAAACACCAACAAAGCCACAGAAATTTCTCAACCACCTTCAGTGTCTGGTATGTACTGTTATTTAATTATCTCTGATTTCATAGCAATTATTTTGATAGCTTCCCTGTAATATAGTGGTTTGAGTGTTGGACTAGGATTCTGAAGGCCAGGGTTCAGTATCTCCTTAGCCATGGAAACCCATAGGTTGACCTGGGACAAGTCATATATTTTCAGCCTAATATGGCGATAATGGAAAACTTCCTCTGAACAAATACTACTATGAGAAATCCCTGATAGGTGCAACCTAGGGTTGCCATTAGCCGGAGATGACTTGAAGGCAAACAACAAAGAAACAAGTCTGAAAAAAATGTAGCACACTTCAATAAAATTGCTTGCTGAGTGGTGGTTGTAGCCCACTACAGAGACACAAAACTAGTCTGGTAAGGAATATGTCTTTTCATGTACAGTATGCCCCCCTACATTTACAGTTCCAAAAGTACCTCTCTCCCCAAAATGTTTTTGTGGGTTTCCCTAGGTCCTCCAGTGCAATTCTATGGGGAGCTTCTAGTATAGCCAAAATATAGGATTCACTGTTAACCAGTTTTAGATATCCAAGGAGGTCTTGGAATGTAATAAATGTTAAACTCACCTGTCTCTAGGAAAAAAACCTGAAACAGAAGTTTTGTCGGGTCCAAAGACTGAAAACAAGAATGAGAATAAAGGAGAAGCAAGAAAGTGAGTTGTATATTTAATTTGTTTATGTTGGTGGGAACCTGAGAGGCTTCTCTCCAACAGTTATATGTTCAAGTACAATGTACAGTTATTTGCAATGCATTTTGGATTGTAAAAACATTAATTCCACATTTGTTTTTTGTTTTTTTAGGAGACAGTGGTCGATGGATGACTTTGAAATTGGACGTCCCTTGGGAAAAGGGAAATTTGGGAATGTGTACCTTGCTCGTGAAAAGGAGAGCAAGTTCATCCTGGCACTAAAAGTCTTGTTTAAATCACAGTTGGAAAAAGCAGGAGTTGAGCATCAGATTCGCCGAGAGGTGGAAATACAGTCCCATCTTCGGTAAGGTTGACAATGGCTATCTTGAATATTTTTATAGGATGACTGTCTTCATCTGATTTTAGGATGAGGCTAACTGCAGAGATATAACTACAGAAAGCTTTCAAGTATGGAGAACTGTTACAAAGGGAATGCCTGCCATGCTGCACACAGAATGATGTTTGACTGCTATAAAAGTGAAGTGTTTCAGGGAGTGAAACACTTCTTTTTTATAGTATTATTTTTTAGGCTGTGCATCTCAAATTGTGCTTTTGGACTGCTATCCAAATCTTCTAACTATAGATTTCAGTGCTCAAATCACAAGACTATGAGAGGCACTTTGCAAGTATATTCAATCTCATATCATCTTGTTCCACCCCCCCCCCCAAAAGTCATCAAGATCTTTTACCAACATTTTCTTCTCTCCTGAAGGCAAAGGTTTCATCATTGTTAACTGCAAGACGTTTGCCTGATTCTAATACATGAAAACATGTTGGATTGCTTACCACTTGCTATTCCCTTTTAAAGAAGGGAAATATTTAGTAGGAACCTAGAAACTCCTTCAAAAAGTGAATGTCTAAAATCTTGCAAGTCAATTGTCCAGAACAGTATTTTGTGAGCAGTAAAGTAAGAAAAGAGCACAAAAGGCTTTACCCTTGGAAGGCTGGAAAGCCTTTGGGTCAATTTTTTTCACACCTGGTGAAGGAAAACACTTTGTGACTGCTGTTACACTGGATCCTTTTGTGCCTCTGCAGCAGTGGGTATGTCCTAAGTACCTGGTTCTGAGTTGATCCTCTGAGTGAAGGCACTATGGAAGGGGTGGCATGGACAATTGTATTTTTCCAATGTGTTTGTTACAGGTATATTTCAGAATTGTACACTAAAGAAAGTAAGGTTGCTTACCTGTAACCATGTTTCTTCTAGTGGTTAACTGTGAAATTCACACCTGTGGTATTTCCCTGCGTCCACGCAGCTGACTCGGATCTTTCTTGAAAGCTTTTCCTAATTAGGGACTCCAGCCCCGCCCATCTACTCCTAATAAAGCCAGGCAGCGGGGCTTGGAGCCTTAATTCCGTACCGCGAAAGACAGTCGGAGATAAAAGGCATGACAGAATGTGGGGAGGATGGGCGGGTTGTGTGAATTTCACAGTTAACCACTAGAAGAAGTGTCTGTTCCTAACATCGCCCACACAGAGATTGGAGCGATGAGTCCACTAGTTGAGAGACCTGTGGATGGCTAAAGGGACAATGAGACATTCATTGGGCTCATCCTGCATGGGATGAAGTGCCCGAAGAAACCAATTCTGGAGAGGCCGAAGGTGCAAACAGGAGAAAGGAGTGGCAGCTGTGGTGAATGCCATGTGTCCCAAAAGGCACTGGACATCCCTGGCATGGATGTATGGCTTCTGCCAGACTCAAAGAGCTAATGAATGCAGATTCAGAAACCTGTCTTCTAGCAAGTAGGCCCTTGCATGCCAAGAGTCCAATACAGGCCCAATGAATTGGTTGTTTGGATAGGCTGAAGAAGAGATTTTACCTTGTTGATAAAAAGACCAAGCTTCTGCTATAAAGACAGAGTAAAGTGAATGTTCCTCTGTAGATACTCACAGGACTGTGCACCAACAACCAGCCATCAATATAGGGGTAAACTACTACCCCGTGCACCCAGGGATGAGCCGGCATACAGCCATCTCCTTAGTAACACCTGTGGAGCTGTGGAGATACCATAATGAAGAACTTGAAATGAAAAGGCCTGACTGCTAGTAAAAAGTGACAAAAATCTACCGTCTTGTGGTCTAATCACCACATGAAAATAGGCATCCTTCAAATCAATGCTACTGAACCATGTCTTGCTGGATAACAGAGGGAGGATGGTTGGTAATGACAACATCTGAAATTTGCAATATGCAATATATGCATAAAGTCCTCTAAGGTCCAAAACTGGCCAAAGCCCACTGCCTGTCTTGGAAACCAAAAAGTATTTGGGGAAAAGGGAAAAGAAGGAAACATAGAAAGATGTAAAGAAGCTACTGCTCCTTTTTGAAACAAAGTAATTACCTCCTGCTATAACACAGGAGGAGGAGTGGCCCGTAGAGTCCCTACTGGGGACAGGTTGAGAAATTCAATTGCATAAACATGCTCTGTAATCTCCAACACCCATGAATGAGAAGAGATCTAATGCCATGCATCTAAAAATGATGAGGTGGAGCTCCAAAAACTGGAGCTGAAGGGTTGGAGGCTATTAAAGAAGAGAAAATGCATGCTAAAAACACTGTTGGCCCTGATCTTCTTCTTTCCCTTTAGTTTGTTGTCACCCCTGGTGGAAAAATTAAGTCTCCCAGCTACAGAGGCCCTAGAGTTCTGGCCCTGCTGAGGACTGAAGGAAACAGGTCATGAAGGTTGATGATAATTAAGCTGAGGGGCTGGCCACCACAATCTAGGCTAGATTGTGGTAAAAAGCCAAACTTAGAAGCAGCCTGTCAAATCTTGTGCGTACTTTTGAAATGAGGGTCTGTATCAGGATGAAACAGACTATGTTCTGCCATGGGCAGTTATTCTGCCATTGCTCTGCCTTCTTTGAAGAGGGTAGAGGATCTCAGCCAACCATGCTGGTGGATGGCTGCTGCAACAGCAGCAAACACCTTTAGTACTGTATCGGTGCTGTGCTTAGCCATAGCTTTCTGATGAGAAGCTAAGGTGAGAGCTTACTGACAGAAAGCCCTTGGGATCTGTTGATGTTGTAGGGGAAGGAGATCCAAATAAGGTGCTGAGCTATGCCACAAGAGCACCTGATAGGCTGCCATACAAGCATGGTAATGAATCATGCAAGTAAGTAGGCTAGCAGTGGGGTGGATCTTCTTATCACAGTGGACTGACTTGAGGTGCCTTCGCTTTCTTGGATTAAATAACTTTGACCACAATAAAATTCAGTTTAGTAGGCTTAACTAACCACTCTGCTGAAGAGGTGCGTATGCAGTAAAGTGCATTTACAAACTTAGAAATTCCAGATACAGGAGTTGCCTTTTGCTTTTCTCCAAGCTTAAGCAAGTATGGAAGTGCTGGGAGAACTGGGAGAACTGTACTTGGAGCTTGTTTCTGCTGTTGCTCAACTGAGAAAAGCAGATCCTCTAAGCAATCAAGGAGGAAAAATTAGGTAACACATCCCCTATGGAAGCTGGGATGGAAAAGTCCTCCTCAAGAGTAGGAGAAATCTGCTACTCATAGGAGTCAGAATCTACATCAGACTCATTGACTGGTTGCAGCTGAAAGGAAGCACCAGAATGAGCTTAGGAAAAAGTCTTATTAAACTCCTGAAAACCAAAAGAAGGGACTCCAAATCCTTGAGAAGGAAAGGAGGGTGCAGTTTGTGCCTATTCAAAATAGTAGCAACCTACCTGTTGAGGCATGGGCCAAGTGGCAGATGGGGCCCAAAAGACACAGTACTTACATTCTGAGCCGTCACTGAAGCTCCCAGGCGGCATGATGCAGAGGGAGGATGGTAGCCTGAAGGCCCCTCCAAGGAGTTATATTCCATGGGCTTAGACCCAAAGCCTTGGCTAGCCATCACTCACACAGGTGGCGTGGCTGCCTTGAGCCTCCCCTCTCCTGAGGGGGGCAAAAGCATGGCAGGGATCGTTGCAGCCCGAAGACCCCTCCAAGGAGTTATATGCCATGGGCTTGGACACAAAGCCTTGGCTAGCCATCACTCACACAGGTGGCGTGGCTGCCTTGAGCCTCCCCTCCCCTGAGGGGGGCAAAAGCATGGCAGGGATCGTTGCAGCCCGAAGGCCCCTCCAAGGAGTTATATGCCATGGGCTTGGACACAAAGCCTTGGCTAGCCATCACTCACACAGGTGGCGTGGCTGCCTTGAGCCTCCCCTCCCCTGAGGGGGGCAAAAGCATGGCAGGGATCGTTGCAGCGTCCACTGCCTGCTGGGGTAAATGGGGCAGGGAAAGCATGGGCAGTGAGAGCAAGCTGTCCTTCAAAAACAGAAACAGCTGAGATGCGTGGCTGCAACCCAAAACAAAGTTATTGGCACCAAGCCACAGTGGCATTTTGCTGCCACAAGCTCTACCAGTTCCTGGTTCTGTAAAGGGGTGGTAGGCTGTTTAAAAGTCTTCTTCCCTCCTGCTTTCTGAGCGAGGGGAACAGAAGAAAAGAAGGTAAGTTACTGCCCATTGCCAAAGGCAAGAAACACAAAGGGGGTGGGAGTCACCCTGGAGCAACTTCCCCCCATAAGCCATACATTTCAAAGAAAATGCCATACTGGCCTGAATAGGATAAACAAAGGTCCCAGAACACAAGTTGGAATTGTTGTCTGGTAGAGTAGTCAAACTGGAGTCCTTGAGTCAAACCAATAGTTGTTTTAGGAGAGAACACAGAGTTGTTGCTGCTTTCGCGGACAAAAGGAATTAAGGCTCCAAGCCCCGCTGCCTGGCTTTATTAGGAGTAGATGGGCGGGGCTGGAGTCCCTAATTAGGAAAAGCTTTCAAGAAAGATCCGAGTCAGCTGCGTGGACGCAGGGAAATACCACAGGTGTGGATTTCACAGTACCACGCAGAAGAAATATCTAGCTCTTTGTAGAAGTGGTCTTCTACAAAGATTTTATGGCAGGTGTTTGTCACCTCTTCTAGCAGTGGTTTGCCTGTATAGGGGTTGGCTAGAACTATTTGTTGCTTACAGAACCAAGACCTGGAGAACTTGTTCCAAGAACATTGTAAAACAACAATAATAATGATCTGCCTCATGAGTAATTTGACTCAATGGAATCATGCGTATCATTGTACCTGTTCCCAAAATGTCACTTAGTTACTATTTGAGGAATGCTATTCAGACAGTCTCAAACAGTAATTTAAACTACTAATGTTCATCTTGAAATTGTTGATAGCCTTTGATAGTAGTCACTGATATTATACAAAAGGGAACTGGACTGAAAATGCAGCAGTCTTGATGCTAATTGTGGGAGAATAGCTGCTAGCTATATCTCCTCAATAAAGGTGTATATAAAGGAGCAAGGGGAAAATATGCAGCAGTGTTCCATTGCATGATAAGAAGCACCATAATGTTATGAACTGGAACAAAGTGCAATATAATGTTGATGCCACGTTGTAAGCCACTTTGGGTTCCAGGAGTGAGAACAGCGGGATATAAATAAAGATGATTTATTATTATTAACTATTTTATTTATACATTTCACATATTTTTTTCCATAGGCATCCCAATATCATTAGGTTATATGGCTATTTCCACGATGCAACAAGAGTTTACCTGATTCTTGAGCATGCACCTCGAGGAGAAGTATACAAAGAACTCCAAAAGCTTTCCAAATTTGATGAGCAGCGAACAGCTACTGTATGTTCTTATGTGAATATTTGGTGAATATTATTAGTGTTGTTGTCAGCCTTCAAGTTGTTTTCTGACTCATGGTGATCCTAAGGCGAACCTATTGCAGAGTTTTCATGGCAACATTTGTTCAGAGAGTGATTGCTTTTGCCATTCTTGGATACTGAGAGAACATGACTTCCCTCTGGTCAACCAGTGGATTTTCAAATCCAAAGAAGGATTTGAATCTTTGTCTCCAGTGTCATAATCCAATGCTATATCATTCTTAGCATGTGTAACCTAATTTATCCTACAATTGCCTGTCTAGGTCTTAAACTTTTCTTTGACAGAAATTAGCTTCCTAGAGTGTGTTGTGGGACAGAACAATAATTAAGCGTTACTCCACTCCCATGGCTCTGGAGTGGATTGGGTCACCATGTCTGGGGTTTCAAAAAGACCCCTCCTGAGCCAAATGTTCCTGTTGGTCCGTAAAATCGTTAGAAATCCTCCCAATTGAGATTTTGGAGTATTTCAGGTCAAAAAGATATCAGCCTTTGGGCTGATATGGGCGGGATAGAAATAACGTAAATAAATAATAATACATTTTTGTCCACGCAGTTTTGGCCTTCTTAGACGCCAAATATGGTGGACATATCCTCCACGCCCCCTAAAATGCATAAGCAGACAAAAGGGCCATGGCAGAGAGTTATATGTGGTCTGTAGCCTGTAATTTCCCCTTTTTATTGTATGTCATTAACATGGTGCTTTATCATTAGAATTTTATTGGTAGCCATAGATGTCTTGCCTATATTGTTTTGGACTATTTGTTGGGAGGATAAAAAAAATGTTATAATTATGTAAACATTTTTGTCTTATAGTAAATATTACTTGCTAAGTGTTTTGTACCTACTCTCTCATGCCTTTTTAGTATTTGTGCACAGTGTAACATACTAGTTCAATACTTAGTTACTACTCACAGATTATGAAATCTAACGATTTCCACCTATAAGGCTTCATTGCAGATTTTTGTTTCTTCCTCCAGTATATGACTGAACTGGCTGATGCTCTATTATATTGTCACTCAAAAAGCGTAATTCATAGGGACATAAAGCCTGAGAACCTACTTCTGGGATCAAATGGAGAGCTAAAAATTGCTGACTTTGGATGGTCTGTGCATGCTCCAGATTCTAGGTAAGAGTACATTAAATATTCAGGTTTGAGAGTTTAATATTGTGACAATAAACAAAATCAAAATTTGGGTGACCTCAAGAATTGGGGTGATGGATGATTTTGAATGTAGTCAGCTCTGAAAAAAGCATTTGCTTTGTATTTACTAAGTCTCTTAAGAATTGGGTGGAAGAAGGCTAACCAGTAAAAGGTTCACCAGTTAGGACCCTTTTTATTCAGAGTACAAGGCAAATTTTTCACTAGGATATTTAGCAATACTAGAGCAAGGGATCTTCTCCCTCTACATTCAATATTTCATGGTTTGATCCTTCCTGGGCTCACAAAATTGTGAGTGTGTGCGCAAGTGGGCATGTATGAAGAGGATCATTTTTCATCTATTTTGTCATACTGCTGTGGTGCCTGCCAGAAAAAAAGAGGCATCAATTCTAATTCGGCATTAACACAACCAAATGCAAAGAGTTACAACGCACACTGTTATTTTCCCTGCTATGCAGCGTCTCCATCTGTCCAGTTCCATCATTAAATTGCACTGGCAATAGTTTTACAATTGAGAAAAACTCATTTTCTCTTTTAGAATGTTCTGAGATTCCCCTGCTATAAACCTCTGGATTCTTCCAAGCGTGCCAGTTTTATCTTTTCATTTTTCAGTAGTCCAGTTTTACATTCAATCTTGAGCTGTTGCTGATGAGATGATTAACATCAGTGAAATTCCATAACAAAGGCCCAGTGTAGATACTCGGTTTACTTATAGCATAAGAAGGTACTATTTTGAGCACTTAACAGTGGTTATTAAACCAAATCTCCATTACCATTGCAATCTGTTTAGGGCACAAAGCTTTAGAAATGTTAGTCAGGATGAAGAATACAGGTGTAAATAGTTTCATGGGAAATACTTTGTACAACCACTTTACCTGATATATTCAGCTGCAATACATGGCTTAGGTTTTGATGACAAGGGTATGCTGATGTTTCACCATTAAAGCTGGACCAAAAGAGTGGAAACGAGCACAGATTTGTTCTATTTTCTCTTTCATAAACTCCAGTAAAGTTTCCTGGCCTGAAAACAACACTACATACAACCGTTGGCTTTGTCCTAGCATTTTTCTGCTGCAGCTGTCCTTTGGAATTTTATTTCTTGACATTATTCTTGTGGGTGTGTGTGTGTGTATGTGTATGTGTCTTTACTGCTTCTTGATATATGTGTGTATGTGTTTCGGGGGTTCAGGAATGAAACCTGTAAATTATTTTATTGTAATTTTTTTGGTAAATTAAAAAAAGGCCTAAGGGAGTTTGTGTGGCACCATTTCGGTCAATCATTCTTTTTTTGCCGTCACTTTCATGATGCGGATATCTAAAGGCTTACTATTGCGGGGTGCTTTAAGGTTGTAAAGAAATGGACAGATGCCTCCTTGAACTTTTAAGTATTTTATGTTATGTTGTTTATGATTGATGTTTTATAGTTGACTGATTTTAATCTATTATCATATGCTATTTTAGTTATGTGCTGCGTTTTAAACTTTGTGAGGCACTGAATTTTGCCATTTACTTTGTTGTGAACCGCTTTGAGTCTCCCTTGGAATAGATAAAGGCGGTATATAAAAGAAATCAATAAGTAAACTTGCATCTATTCTAAACACTCTCCATGGGTTATCAAATGTCAGTTTGTTAACATACGTTCTTCCACATTTTAGGAGGTCAACTTTGTGTGGTACACTTGACTACTTGCCACCGGAAATGATTGAGGGGAAAAGACATGATGAAAAGGTAGACTTGTGGAGCCTTGGGGTCCTGTGCTATGAGTTTCTGGTAGGAAAGCCTCCTTTTGAGGCTAAGACGTACCAGGAAACATACCGAGCTATTTCAAAGGTGAGACAAATTATGTGATCTAGTACTTGTTTTATTGATGTTTGCTTTGTTTATAATTTTTAAGCTGGAGTGTTACAGAATTCCTATATCTGGCTTTTTGAGGGCTAGGGTTTCCTGATCATATCAGAATAGAATTTCTTCTGCGTGGTACTGTGAAATCCACACCTGTGGTATTTCCCTGCGTCCACGCAGCTGACTCGGATCTTTCTTGAAAGCTTTTCCTAATTAGGGACTCCAGCCCCGCCCATCTACTCCTAATAAAGCCAGGCAGCGGGGCTTGGAGCCTTAATTCCTTTTGTCCGCGAAAGCAGCAACAACTCGGTGTTCTCTCCTAAAACAACTATTGGTTTGACTCAAGGACTCCAGTTTGACTACTCTACCAGACAACAATTCCAACTTGTGTTCTGGGACCTTTGTTTATCCTATTCAGGCCAGTATGGCATTTTCTTTGAAATGTATGGCTTATGGGGGGAAGTTGCTCCAGGGTGACTCCCACCCCCTTTGTGTTTCTTGCCTTTGGCAATGGGCAGTAACTTACCTTCTTTTCTTCTGTTCCCCTCGCTCAGAAAGCAGGAGGAAAGAAGACTTTAACAGCCTACCACCCCTTTACAGAACCAGGAACTGGTAGAGCTTGTGGCAGCAAAATGCCACTGTGGCTTGGTGCCAATAACTTTGTTTTGGGTTGCAGCCACGCCTCTCAGCTGTTTCTGTTTTTGAAGGACAGCTTGCTCTCACTGCCCATGCTTTCCCTGCCCCATTTACCCCAGCAGGCAGTGGACGCTGCAACGATCCCTGCCATGCTTTTGCCCCCCTCAGGGGAGGGGAGGCTCAAGGCAGCCACGCCACCTGTGTGAGTGATGGCTAGCCAAGGCTTTGTGTCCAAGCCCATGGCATATAACTCCTTGGAGGGGCCTTCGGGCTGCAACGATCCCTGCCATGCTTTTGCCCCCCTCAGGGGAGGAGAGGCTCAAGGCAGCCACGCCACCTGTGTGAGTGATGGTTAGCCAAGGCTTTGTGTCCAAGCCCATGGCATATAACTCCTTGGAGGGGTCTTCGGGCTGCAACGATCCCTGCCATGCTTTTGCCCCCCTCAGGAGAGGGGAGGCTCAAGGCAGCCACGCCACCTGTGNTTCGGGCTACCATCCTCCCTCTGCATCATGCCGCCTGGGAGCTTCAGTGACGGCTCAGAATGTAAGTACTGTCTCTTTTGGGCCCCATCTGCCACTTGGTCCATGCCTCAACAGGTAGGTTGCTACTATTTTGAATAGGCACAAACTGCACCCTCCTTTCCTTCTCAAGGATTTGGAGTCCCTTCTTTTGGTTTTCAGGAGTTTAATAAGACTTTTTCCTAAGCTCATTCTGGTGCTTCCTTTCAGCTGCAACCAGTCAATGAGTCTGATGTAGATTCTGACTCCTATGAGTAGCAGATTTCTCCTACTCTTGAGGAGGACTTTTCCATCCCAGCTTCCATAAGGGATGTGTTACCTAATTTTTCCTCCTTGATTGCTTAGAGGATCTGCTTTTCTCAGTTGAGCAACAGCAGAAACAAGCTCCAAGTACAGTTCTCCCAGTTCTCCCAGCACTTCCATACTTGCTTAAGCTTGGAGAAAAACAAAAGGCAACTCCTGTATCTGTGCTGGAATTTCTAAGTTTGTAAATGCACTTTACAGCATAGGCACCTCTTCAACAGAGTGGTTAGTTAAGCCTACTAAACTGAACTTTATTGTGGTCAAAGTTGTTTAATCCAAGAAAGCGAAGGCACCTCAAGTCAGTCCACTGTGATAAGAAGATCCACCCCACTGCTAGCCTACTCACTTGCATGATTCATTACCATGCTTGTATGGCAGCCTATCAGGTGCTCTTGTGGCATAGCTCAGCACTTTATTTGGATCTCCTTCCCCTACAACATCAACAGATCCTAAGGGCTTTCTGTCAGTAAGCTCTCACCTTAGCTTCTCATCAGAAAGCTATGGCTAAGCACAGCACCGATACAGTACTAAAGGTGTTTGCTGCTGTTGCAGCAGCCATCCACCAGCATGGTTGGCTGAGATCCTCTACCCTCTCCAAAGAAGGCAGAGCAATGGCAGAATAACTGCCCATGGCAGAACATAGTCTGTTTCATCCTGATACAGACCCTCATTTCAAAAGTACGCACAAGATTTGACAGGCTGCTTCTAAGTTTGGCTTTTTACCACAATCTAGCCTAGATTGTGGTGGCCAGCCCCTCAGCTTAATTATCATCAACCTTCATGACCTGCTTCCTTCAGTCCTCAGCAGGGCCAGAACTCTAGGGCCTCTGTAGCTGGGAGACTTAATTTTTCCACCAGGGGTGACAACAAACTAAAGGGAAAGAAGAAGATCAGGGCCAACAGTGTTTTTAGCATGCATTTTCTCTTCTTTAATAGCCTCCAACCCTTCAGCTCCAGTTTTTGGCGCTCCACCTCATCATTTTTAGATGCATGGCATTAGATCACTTCTCACTCATGGGTGTTGGTGATTACAGAGCATGTTTATGCAATTTAATTTCTCAAACTGTCCCCAGTAGGGACTCTACGGGCCACTCCTCCTCCTGTGTTATAGTAGGAGGTAATTACTTTGTTTCAAAAGGAGCAGTAGCTTCTTTACATCTTTCTATGTTTCCTTCTTTTCCCTTTTCCCCAAATACTTTTTGGTTTCCAAGAAAGGCAGTGGGCTTTGGCCAGTTTTGGACCTTAGAGGACTTTATGCATATATTGCATATTGCAAATTTCAGATGTTGTCATTACCAACCATCCTCCCTCTGTTATCCAGCAAGACATGGTTCAGTAGCATTGATTTGAAGGATGCCTATTTTCATGTGGTGATTAGACCACAAGACAGTAGATTTTTGTCACTTTTTACTAGCAGTCAGGCCTTTTCATTTCAAGTTCTTCATTATGGTATCTCCACAGCTCCACAGGTGTTACTAAGGAGATGGCTGTATGCCGGCTCATCCCTGGGTGCACGGGGTGGTAGTTTGCCCCTATATTGATGGCTGGTTGTTGGTGCACAGTTCTGTGAGTATCTACAGAGGAACATTCACTTTACTCTGTCTTTATAGCAGGAGCTTGGTCTTTTTATCAACAAGGTAAAATCTCTTCTTCAGCCTATCCAAACAACCAATTCATTGGGCCTGTATTGGACTCTTGGCATGCAAGGGCCTTCAGACAGGTTTCTGACTCTGCATTCATTAGCTCTTTGAGTCTGGAAGAAGCCATACATCCATGCCAGGGATGTCCAGTGCCTTTTGGGACACATGGCATTCACCACAGCTGCCACTCCTTTCTCCTGTTTGCACCTTCGGCCTCTCCAGAATTGGTTTCTTCGGGCACTTCATCCCATGCAGGATGAGCCCAATGAATGTCTCAATGTCCCTTTAGCCATCCACCGGTCTATCAACTAGTGGACTCATCGCTCCAATCTCTGTGTGGGCGATGTTAGCAACAGACACTTCCCTCTCAGAGTGGTGAGCTCGCCTCAAGGGTCACACCATCCATGGTCCTTGGGCGGCCCTAGAGGGCATAGAGCACATCAACTATTTGGAGTTACTTGCAGTAGAAATGGCACTGCACCTTATCTGTCATTTGCTCATGGACAGTATTGTCCAGCTTACCACCACCACCACAATTGTGATTTGCTTGCCCTCATCAGAATCTGGGACTGGTATACCATAACCATCAGTGCCATTCATCAAGAACTCTCTTGCTGGCTCCCTCAGTCAGACAGTTTATAATGACCACTAATGGTCCCTTCATCCTTCCCAGGGATGGGAACTCTTTGTCAGATGGCAAACTCCCCTTCTGGACTTGTTTGCCTCTCCCGCCAACATGAAGTGCCAGTTCTTTGGAGCACGTCTTACCTCCACCAGACAGGCTGTTGGGAGATGCCTTCCTCCTGGATTGGACATCCGCCCTCCTGTACATCTTTCCACTACTGCCACTGCTGTCCAGAGTGGTCTCTCGTCTTCAAGCAGAGCAGGTAGATTGCATTCTCATCACACCATGGTGGCCCCGCCAGCCATGGTTTGTCACTCTGCTCCAACTTGCAGGCAGCTGTTACATTCAGTTGCCACTCAGACCAGACTTGCTGACTATGGGCAACAGCCCAGTCCCGTACTCCCAGGTCACTCAGTTCCGGTTGACGGCGTGGCAGATCCAGCCTCAGCCCTCTCTCAACCAGTAAAGAGCAGTTTGGACCTTGCCCTGAGACCTGCCACTAAACATTCTTACATTTATAAGTGGTGTCATTTTTGCATTTTTTCACAAAAGCAAGGAGTTCAGCCTCTGTCTGCTTCCACTTCCCTCCTCCTGGATTTTTTGATTTCTCTGTCAGATTCAGGACTCTCATTATCATTCTTGAAGGTCAATCTGGCAAATATAGCTTCGTTTAGAAGCGAGCATTCTCTTCCCTCTCCTTTATCCGATCCTCTTGTAAAGACATTTCTTCAAGGCTTTAGAAATTTCTGGCCCCAAGTAGGCCTGTGCCCCCCTCTTGGAGGTTGGAGGTTGTTCTTTCCGCCCTTATGAAACCACCATTTGAGCCAATGGCCACTTCTGACATGTTCCATCTATCATGGAAAACAGCATTTTTAGTGCCTATTACTTTTGCTCGTTGCGCTAGCGAGCTTATGGCTCTTGAGTCGATAGTCCTTACGTGAAATTTCATAAGGATAAGGTCATGCTGGGCACAGACATTCCCTTCTTACCTAAGGCAGCATCATAGTTTCATATGTCTCAGGACATTGTCCTTCCAACCTTATTTCCAAATCCTTCTACTCCCCTGGAGCAGTCTTTGCACCTTCTTGATGTGCGGAGGGCTCTTGCTTTTTATGTCCACCGCACAGCTCCATTACGGAACTCACTACGACTTTTTGTTAAGTACCGTAGGGATACTGTGGGCCTTCCTGTTTCTACCCAGAGGTGGCGGCCTGGATAGTTGCAGCTATCCGGCTAGCTTATGAAATGGCAGGACTGGACTTACCTGTTCAGATCCATGCTCATGCCACTAGAGCATTGGCAGCCTCCATGGCTTTTTTGCACGGTGTGCCTCTGAATGATATCTGTCGGGTGGCCATATGGTCAACACCGCATACTTTTGTCTCCCATTATAAATTGGATTTAGCTGCCAAGAAGAAGACGGCTTTTGGGAGAGCAGTACTTTTTTCTGCACTAGCATGACACCCACCATCCGTGGGACTGCTCGCTAGTCTACCACAGGTGTGGATTTCACAGTACCACGCAGAAGAAAGTAAGGTTGCTTACCTGTAACCATGTTTCTTCTAGTGGTTAACTGTGAAATTCACACAACCCGCCCATCCTCCCCACATTCTGTCATGCCTTTTATCTCCGACTGTCTTTCGCGGTACGGAATTAAGGCTCCAAGCCCCGCTGCCTGGCTTTATTAGGAGTAGATGGGCGGGGCTGGAGTCCCTAATTAGGAAAAGCTTTCAAGAAAGATCCGAGTCAGCTGCGTGGACGCAGGGAAATACCACAGGTGTGAATTTCACAGTTAACCACTAGAAGAAACATGGTTACAGGTAAGCAACCTTACTTTCTCTTTGCTTACTGTGTTGTCTTATTACCTTTTTGTAAGATAGTAACCCCAATTCAATTTCTCTTTGTTCACTGTAGCAAAATGTGGTGCTACATTGACAAGAGGTACTCCTGGTCAGTCATAAGATGGATCAGGGTGTGGGATTTCAACCTTTGTTGGATGGGGTCACACTACCCCTGAAGACAGGTTCGCAGTCTGGGGGTGATCCTGGACTCATCACTGACCTGGAACCCCAAGTGTCGGCATTGGCCAGGAGTGCCTTTGCACAAAGCTTTTGCACCAGCCCCACCCATATCTTGGGACACCAGACTTTGGCCATAGTAGTCCATGCCATGTTCACATCCCATTTGGGCTACTGCAATGCTCTCTGTGTGGGGCTGCCTTTGAGGATAGCTGGGAAGCTGCAGTAAGTGCAGAGATTGGCGGCCAGATTGCTAACTGGAGCACTGTATCATGAGAGGACGATTTCCATATTGCGGAAGCTCCACTGATTGCCGGTCCGCTTCTGGGCAAAATACAAAGTGCTGGTCATTACCTATAAAGTCCAAATGGTTTGGGTCCAGGCTATTTGTCTAATCGCATCTTCCTATACAGACCATCCCATGTATTGCGGTCAACAGAGGAGGTCCTCTTTTCGGTCCTATCCATCACAAGCTCAGTTGGTGGGAATGAGAGAGGGGGGGGCCTTCCCCATGATTTTGCAGCCTTCGCCTAGCTAGACTTTCTTGAATTGGCCAAATAGTGTATAGGGCTCTTGCAACCTATTCAGTGTTTAAAAATGCCCACTCTCAAAACCCATAAATTGGCTTTCAAGCTCTTCACTTTTCCGTTTGGGAGATTTTTGTTGTGTGTGGCCCCTGCAAAGTCGCAGAAAGTTTGGACCTGGATCAACCACAATACCCTCTTGAGGTAGAAGATAAAAAGCAATGAAAAAATAATTTTCTATAGAGCTAAAGAATGAATTTTTGAATACTCCATGCAAAAGGGAAACACATTCTATAGTGACTTCAATCTAATAGTACTTTTATTTGGTTTAAAGGTCGACTACAAGTTTCCTCCTTTTGTGACAGAAGGCGCCAGGGACCTGATTTCGAAGCTTCTGAAACATAATCCAAACCACAGATTGCCACTAGAAGAGGTGTTAAAACATCCATGGGTTACTACAAACTCAAAATCCCCCAGGCATAGGATAGCTGAAGACACTGGAGCTACTACTAGTATTACTAGCAGCAGCACGAAAATGCAGTCGTAGCATGGTGAGCATCACTGCAATGAAATATTTGTGACATGCAACCATTGTAATGCAGTCAATATACGAAGCATAGAACTGGGAACAGAAAAGATGGTGCAAATACCTTGTATTATAAACTGTTTTGTGAAAACTGTGGAATGTAGGCTGTGGTTTTAATGCATTTCCATGGAGCTTCAGGTCTTAACAGTTTATGGAAAATTTGTATGTACTTGAAGTCCTCTTGCACATGACCCAAACACTTTGAGGCACAGATAGTTGAGGTGTGTCTCAATTCTGCATTGCTGCTGTTCCTGCTTTCATCCTCTACTGCTTGACAGCATTACAAATTTAGTCATAGGTTGCTGGAACAGTGCAATAGTGTCTTCAGTGCCCTCGCAGGTTGAAGTCAAATGCATGTGCATATGTGAAACAGAACCTGCCTCTGTAAATATAAGTGCTAAATGTTTATAACTGTCTGTCTTCAATAGTATTCTAAATAAAATTTTTGAACAATATCCAACTGTCCAAAGGCATCTTCTTTGCTATCTGCTGTTGTGAAGTCTTGACTACTGGCCAAATGAATTATGTTTTCTGCTTGGACTGTCTTTAATTTCATTTGATAAAAATAGTGCCTCCTTGAGGATAATTCTCATATAATGCTAGCAAGGCTCTCCTGCTGCAAAATATTTGATGACGAAATCCTCTTCTATTGTGGTTTTCCTTCTAGTCTTACTGTATTTGAACCTCTTCCTTAGCCTCACCTCTAAGCAACACATTTTTAGCCTTTATTATCTGTTTTATATGGAATAACTGTTTTATATGGAATAAGGTAGAACTTGAAACTAGTCTTTAATATTAAAACAGAATTAATTATATCTGTTCTTTACCTACTAAAATGACATGGAGGGCACAATTATTTAAACCTTAGAACTCAAGTGGCAGACAGATTACTTAGTATTATTTGGAAATGTAAACTGATTTGGCTTCTCTCCTGTTAATACTGTGGTGCAGCAGGTTAAACCACTAAGCTGCTGAATTTGCTGCCCGAAAGGTTGGCGGTTCGAATCCAGAGAGCTCCTGCTGTTAGGCCCAGCTTCTGCCAAGCAATCAGTTTGAAAACATGCAAATGTGATTAGATCAATAGGTACTGCTTCTGCGGAAAGGTAATGGCGCTCCATGCAGTCATGCCAGCCACATGACCTTAGAGGTGTCTATGGAGAACACTGGCTCTTTGGCTTAGAAATGGAGATGAGCACCAGCCCACAGTGTCGGACACGACTAGAATTAATGTCAGGGGAAACCTTTACCTTTAGTGTACTGTGGAAATTTAGAGCTACAATCTGTTATAGATTCCTAAAGCTGATGCCATGTTTAATAACCATGCTTACCTTTGTTCTTCTGCTTTATTTAAAATACAATTCTATGTAATGTAGATAAATATAAAGAAACAAGCTGAATTACTTTTCTCCCCATTTATTTACAAAAGCCCCATATTTAATAATTAAATTGTATTGAAGAATTTTAAATGCTTCAATGGATACAAATAACATGTTAATGTCATTGGCTTTAAACCCTTTCCCCTCATTTATGATGTCCTGTTAAATCTCAATGTTTGCTATCTCAATTTCTAATGTTTTTGCTTTTTTCCAACCCAAAGGGCTTCATGCTTCTGTCTCAGAACTATCTGATTATTGGGCAATGCAGAATATTTCTAACCAGTAGTCCTGGTATAGTTTACCATACAGTAAAAATGCAAAAACAGTGGCAGAGGCCCTATCTACATTACCATATAATGCAGTTTGAAGATGCATTATATGTTCAGTGTAAACTAATAATGAAGTTCAATGTATTAACCTTTTATTAAAAGATTACTATCTCTTTAGTTGTATGTAGTTAGCCCACCATATTCATGGATTTTGGTATCCATGGGGAATCCTGAAACTAAATCTGAACGGATACCAAAGGCCTACTTTGGTATGTGCATCCAAGCTGCTTGTCTATTTATGGCAACTCCATAGATGTCATAAGGATGAGGAATACCTAGAGATGGTTTGCCATTTAAACATCTGTAGAAATCATTGGTATTGGCACTTGGAAAATATGCAGAAAATGCACGTTTGAATTCAAGCACCTGTAGTTTAAAAGATCAGATGCAGGTGATGAAAGATACCTATGAATGAGTGTCTTGAGTGCCTATTGAAACAGTATTAAGGAACCACAGCTGGGAAAAGTTACTTTTTGTACAACTATTTCCAAATTCCTCTAGCCAGCACAGTCACATTGGCTGAGAGCTACTAGGAATCCAAAATAATAATTCCAAATTCTGATTAGGAACCTGTTGGCAACACGATATAATGCATTTCCATGATACAAGCATCCTGAGCTCTGAGGATTACCTGGGAAGGAATCCCACTGGAGCATTGCAGCACACCCAAATACCTGGGAGTCACTGTGGACCGTTCTCTGACCTACAAGAAGCACTGCCTGAATATCAAGCAAAAAGTGGGTGCTAGAAACAATATACGAAAGCTGACTGGCACAACCTGGGGATCACAACCAGACACAGTGAAGACATCTGCCCTTGTGCTATGCTACTCTGCTACTGAGTATGCATGCCCAGTGTGGAACACATCTCACCACGCTAAAACAGTGGATGTGGCTCTTAATGAGACATGCCGCATCATCACGGGGTGTCTGCGCCCTACACCACTGGCGAAATTACACTGTTTAGCCAGTATTGCATCACCTGACATTCGCCAGGAAGTAGCAGCCAATAGTGAAAGGACCAAGGGAGTGACATCTCCAGCTCATCCCCTGTTTGGATATCAGCCGGCACGTCAACGACTTAAATCAAGAAATAGTTTTCTAAGATCTACAGAGACACTCGCTGGAACACCCCAGCAAGCGAGAGTCCAAAAGTGGCAGGCTCAAACCCAGAACCTCATCAATGGCTGATACCAAATGAGAGACTCCCCCCTGGGCACACAGAAGACTGGGCGACTTGGAAGGCACTGAACAGACTGCGCTCTGGCACCACGAGATGCAGAGCCAACCTTAAGAAATGGGGCTACAAAGTGGAATCCACAACATGCGAGTGTGGAGAAGAGCAAACCACCAACCACCTGCTGCAGCCAGGATTTTGATTGGGGGCTGAGTTTGATTTGGGGGGGGGGGCTGAGTCTGAGTGAAAGAGGGTCTACCCTAGCAAACCTTTTGTATCGTTACCCCAATACCCCCATGCATATGGGATATATTGAGCATGGTGATCAGATCCTGATATGAATAAACATAACAGTTTAAATAATGTACCAGTAAGGCCTTCTCGCGGACCACCCTGAGAATTTCGGGGGGGGGGGGGGGGGGGGGGGCTGAAGCCCTCAACCCCCCCCCCCCCCCCCCCACTACATGCCTGCCACCTATTGCAATGCACCCTGAGCCCTGCCACATACACAATGGAGGACCTCCTTGCGGCAACACCAGAGGCACTCCAAGTGGCCAGACACTAGTCAAAGGACATTTAATCAACTACCAAGCTTGCATTTTGTCTGTCTGTCTGTTTGTTTTGTTAAAAATGTAATACAAATGTCTGGTTGCTCCTGACATGATAAATAAATAAATAAAATCCATGATATAATGCATATGCTCTTTTTAAGGTCTTCTTCAGGAGTTATTTAAGATCCTTTTGAGCTGTATTTTTAGTTCCTTTTGCAAATGTTACTACAGTTTTGGTAGTAACATTTGCAATAAGGTAGTTTCTTGGGTTTACAGGAATATGCAAATAACAGTTCTTATCTGCCTCTATGTAGCAAGGGATGCATAGAAAAAGCACAAGCCATCAGTATTTTAATATATATTTTTGATCATGAAGAAACCACTTTCCCACCTTTTAAAACACACAAAAAAAATCAAGCAGAAGTATTGGAAATCCATACAAGGGGACCACCAGGGCGCAGCAAATGTCTATATTAAGACGTTTATATTAAGAAAACGTCTATATTAAGAAAGTAGGAGGCATTCCATTTTTTCCTCCCCAAGAATTAAAATCATGGGTTTGCAGCTGGTGGTTTGAAGAAACCTATCTTCCGGAAATAGCGGACAAGGAATGGCACTGAGACTAAGGTGATGCTGATGCGGACTGGAGCAAACAGTTTGTGAACGGCATAGGCCAATAAAAAAGTGCTTGTCCCGGCAGCTAATTTGGATTGCACCAGAGCTTCATCAAATCCCAGCTTGAAGAGAATGGCAGTCATGTCCACTCCGCTAAAAGGGGGAGAAAGCATACCACATCTTAACTCAGTAGCACTGAACAGAATACCTAAAGATTTTAGAATTTGGTTTTAGCAAAGCAACAAAATACCCACACAAAGGGAAGTGCTCCTGTTAAGGTTGCAGCCAACGTGAAACATGGATTGTGATTTTAGTGCTATTCAGGCCAATTGGAAATAGAAGAGTAAAATTCTTCTGCCTCCCCACATTTGCTTTGTATGTAGCCTTAGATCAGGAGTGGAGTACAGACAGTCCCCATGTTACAAACATCTGACTTACAAATGACTCATAGTGAAGAACAGGGGTAAGACAACAGGAAGTGAAAGAAATGTAGCCCCCCAGAAGGAAAATTCACTCCTGAAAGAGTTATCATCGGAGAAAGGTGTCTCAACTGAAGCTTTATCACCAATCCTTGTTTCCATAACAAGCCAATTTTTTAAGAATACAATTATAGGGACAGAAAGTGAGGTGAAATCTTCGGACCAAGGGCAGACAGCGAAAGAAATCTTACAAGGGTGTTAACCCTTCCCTATGCTATCCAAAACGGATATATATATGTGTGTGTGTGTTTTTACATACAAGTTCAATTTAAGAACAAACCTACAGAACCTATCTTGTTTGTAACTTGCGAACTGTCTGTAGTTTTGGTCTACCAAATATTTGGTTCAACAAACACAGTACCATTGGCTGGGCTTCTAGTGGTTGGACCAAAACATCTTGGAGGCCAAAGGTTCCTCAACTCATATATTAGGTCAGTGGTTCTCAACATGTGGGTCCCCAGATGTTTTAGCCTTCAACTCCCATAAATCCTAACAGCTGGTAAATTGGCTGGAATTTCTGGGAGTTGTAGGCCAAAACACCTGGGGACCCACAGGTTCAGAACCACTGTATTAGGTGGTTTGAGCTTGGGCATGGCTGAAACTCATAAAACATTTATTTATTTATTTATTTCCAGCATTTCTACCCTGTCGCCCTCAACCCCCGAAGGGGGACTCAGGACGGCTTACATTTGGCACAATTTGATGCCATTAAATATAACAAAGCAATAAAACAATAAATAGAACATTAATTAAAACAAAAACAGTATTAACTGCCGTATCATCATTCCAGTCCAATTCCATATCCAAAGCATTATTTATGCCTGCTGTCCAAAAGCCTGGTCCCAGAACCACGACTTCAATTTCTTCCCTAAAGATAGGAGGGATGAAGCTGATCTTACCTCGCTGGGAAGTGAGTTCCACAGACCGGGGGATTAGGAATTAGAAATATGGGTTTATATATCTGTGGAATGAATGGGGTGGGGCAAAGAGGTCTTCTCTGCTGGAGCTAGGTGTGAATGCTTCAACTGACCACCTTCATTAGCATTTGAAGGCCTGGCTGAGCCTGGGGGAATCTTATATATTCCACAGATATATAAACCCATATTCCTAATTCCAACAGACCTCACTACCTCTGAGGATGCTTGCCATAGATGCAGGCGAAACGTCAGGAGAAAATGCCTCTAGAACATGGCCATATAGCCCGAAAAAACCCACAAGAACCTAGTGATTCCAGCCATGAAAGCCTTCGACAATACATAGGTATTTTTAATTACAAAAATGTGAGTCAAGCACTGAAAGGGTTAAATGGATGCTATGATTCAGCAAAAGCTGCAGTTCTATATAAGCAGGTGTGCCTGTAGCTTAGTCTGAGGTAAACCTCAGTGGGAGAAAGGTTTCAGTTTGTGAGAGAAGCCTCTGTGTGAGGTAGGCCCTAGTCTATAAGAAGGCAGAGTGTGAGAAACTTAGATGATAGAAGCCCCAGGTTGAAGGCCTCGTGTGTACAGCTGTGTGTAAAGCTTCAGTACAATTTTGTTGTGTGAGGAGGCTCTGTGAGAGCGAAGCTGTTTATCTGCATGAGAAGGAAGCCCAGCGTGGAAGCAAAGAAGGAAGTATAAAGGACTTTATTTGTATTGTAGAAACCTTGTTATTGTAAATAGTGCAATTATATAAGCATAAAGAGTAATGAATGTGGGTGAGGGAGGCATGAAAGAGATCTGTATGAGAAGATATCAAGTGGGGCAAGGGAGATAGAATCGACCAGCTTGGCTCTCCTCTCCTTTTCTCTGTGGGGAATGCAAATCACACCCACCTGACACTTCAAACGTTGGCTGAGCCCTAATGTCAGGATTCAGCTTGCTCTTGAAGTGGAAGATGGCTTTGATCACCTCTCATTTTTTTTGGCATAGAGGAGGCAAAAATGAAAGCAGGGCACAGCTGTTGTCCCCAAAATACCAGCTAAGAACTACTGGCTTCACTCACTTCCCATTTCCCTGCTTGGAGAAAGGAAGCAGCAGCTCAAAATGCTCCAGCTGACTCTTTAGCTCAGGAATACGCATCATACATTGGACTGTGCTTTCCAGCAGTTTGATAATATCTGTGAGGTTGCATTTAGCTTAAGTCAGTTCTTGTTTTCAACAACTATTATCTTATGTTAAATGCAACATTATACCAAACCCCCACCTCTCTCCATGCCTTCTGTGCCAAATAGTACCGGGATTGTGGCGCAGCTGGCTGAGCGTCAGCTGCATTAAGATCACTCTGACCAAAAGGTCATGAGTTCGAAGTCAGCCCGGGTTGGAGTGGGTTTCCAACCGATTGTGTATAGCCTGTTGTCGACCTTTGCAACCCGAAAGACAGTTGCATCTGTCAAGTAGGAAAATTAGGTACCACCTCAAAGTGTGGGGAGGCTAAATTAACTGATTTATGAGGCCATAAAGAAGAATCCAGCAAAGCATTCCAGCGGGGAAGCATGCGGGGAATGCGGAAGTGCTTCATCAGCATCGCAGATGGACGATGAAAGCGACAGCTCACCTGGCGGCCAGAAAAACTGAAATAGCCTCTGTGTATGTCTGTATATGTTTGTATGTCAAAAATTGGCATTGAATGTTTGCCATATATGTGTACACTGTAATCCGCCCTGAGTCCCCTGCGGGGTGAGAAGGGCGGAATATAAAAGCTGTAAATAAATAAATAAATAAATAAATAAATAAATAAAATAGTACAGAAAGCATACCTTGACACAGCCAAATAAAACATTCCCAAAGACATCAATGAAATCCCAACATGGAATGCCACTGCTACAGCTCCGTATTCCTTAAAAACCTTCTTCAATTGCTGGGATTTGTTGGGTTTCTTCCCATCCTCTTGGCTGGAATCTGCATGATCATTTTCCAGGGATGTGCTAGTATCCTATATTTAGAGGAAGAAATAATGCTGTCATGAAAATGTATGTGCCATTACATCTGCTTCAACCTATGCTACCCATATCGATGGAAAGCTTTTGCCAAAATGACCTCAGCTCAAGCTACCTATGGAAATAGAGCAGCCTTTTCTTAGGTGTCTGTGATGGAAGATGTCAAGGATTTAGTACTCTGGTTCCTAATCTTTTTTAACCAGGGACCACTTGACTAGGGACTACTTTGACCAGGGACCCCTCTGCAATATTAGTACCAAAAGGGTTATTAATCAGTTTTGGGTCAACTTTAGATTCAATTTGGTTATTTGAGGTGCTGATTCAAAAAACTGCATTGGATAGACCACATCAGCTCTAGTTTCCGATACATAACATATGCTATCCAGTAGTGCTTGCCCACAGAAAACCATATTTAATAAGCCTCGGCACTATAAGAGGGTTTTGCGAGACCAGTTCTTCTTGTTGCAACAGTGTAGTAACGGTGAGGCCGCGGACCATATTTTAGTTCTTGCAGACCACTGGTGGTCCAAGAACCACAGGTGGAGAGCCATTGACTTAATACTAAAGCAACTGTATCTTCCACAGACATCATGAAAATGAAATTAAATCCTAGGACAGATGACTACAGATCTTTCATTTGAGGATGCTGTAATACAGTGACAGCTCAATTCCAAGAAGAAAAAATCAATTTCAGAAAGCAATTGTCTTGGTAGTTGGAGAAGGTAATTACAATGAATATCACAATCTTATCAATTAGATAAAGAACAAACAAGATACACAGGTCTAAAATGACTGCAGTGAACTTCACAACTTGGAGAGCTTTCACAACCTGGAGAGAAATACAATAAGCTGGCATTTTAAAGAAAAGATCAGAGCAACAGATAACATTTTAACCTCTGTTTAATATTTAAAATGTAACTTGAAAATGTTTCTGTACTACTATGCAAAGTAATACTTACTTACTTACTTAGGCGATCCCTTGTAGTCCGAGGATGATGGTCCTCCCAAGTGTAGTGTCCTGGTGGTGGGTCCGTAGGTGACTGTGGAGCCCTATTCTTGATCTGCATCGTCTCCCACAGTAAGGGCATCGGTTTCCAGGTGGAAGGCAGTCCTGTTCGGAGTTGGCTTGATGGGCTTTTCTCTTGGCACGTTTCTCTCTTTTGCCCTCCATTCATGCCTCTTCAAATTCTACACCACTGCTGGTCACAGCTGACCTCCAAGTGGAGCGCTCAAGGGCCAGGGCTTCCCAATTCTCAGTGTCTATGCCAGAGTTGTTTAAGGATGGCTTTGAGCCCGTCTTTAAATCTTTTTTCCTGTCCTCCAACATTCTGTTTTCCATTCTTGAGTTCAGAATAGAGCAACTGCTTTGGGAGACCGTGGTCGGGCATCTGGACAACATGGCCGGTCCAGCAGAGTTGATGGCGGAGGACCACCGCTTCAATGCTGGTGGTCTTTGCTTCTTCCAGCATTTGTCTGCTTGTCTTCCCAAGTGATTTGCAGGATTTTTTGGAGGCAGCGTTGATGGAATCATTCCAGGAGTTGCATGTGAAGTCTGTAGACTCTCCACGTCTCACAGGTGTATAGCAGGGTTGGGAGGACAATAGCTTTATAAACAAGCACCTTGGTATCCCTACAGATGTCCCAGTCCTCAAAAACTCTCTGCTTCATTAGGAAAAATGCTGCAGTCACAGAGCTTAGGCGGTGTTGAATTTCAGTGTCAATGTTGACTTTTGTGGAGAGGTGGCTGCCAAGGTAGCGGAAATGGTCAACATTTTCTAATGTTACACCATTAAGTTGTATTTCTGGCATTGGAGAGGGATTGGCTGGTGACTGCTGGAAGAACACTTTGGTTTTCTTGATTTTTAATGACAGTAATACTCCTCAATTAAATCATAATACTTGGAATTTAATTGAGGAGTAATACTCCTCAATTAAATCATAACACTCGGAATATAAATGCTTAACTAGCAAATGTGGAGAGAATGACTGTGCCCTGACTATACATCACATACATAAGCAGATTTTGCCTTTATAAATTTAACAGAAGTCGAGAACAAAATATCAATTCCAATGGGCACCCTTTCCGTTATCACTGCTCTTACCTCCTCTACTAATATAGTTACAGAAGCAAGCAAGTTCTTGGCCTAAGTATGCTGGGTTTGTAATTTTTAAAACATTTCTTATATCCTGTTTTCAAATCTAGTAATGTTATTGTATTATTGATTTCTTTTTAAATTGTATAACGTCCATAAAAAAGATAAAAGTTTCCCCTGACATTAAGTCTAGTTTTGTCCAACTCTGGGTGGTGTTCATCTCCATTTCTAAGCCGAAGAGCCGGCTTTGTCTGTAGACACCTCCAAGGTCATGTGGCCAGCTTGACTGCATGGCGCGCGGTTACCTTTCCGCAGAAGCAGTACCTACTGATCTACTCACATTTGCATGTTTTCAAACTGCTAGGTGGGCGGAAGCTGGGACTAACAGCAGGAGCTCACCTTGCTCCCCGGATTCAGAATGCCAACCTTTCAGTCAACAAATTCAGCAGCCCAGCAGTTTAATCCACTGCATCATCAGGGACAAACCCTTACAGACATAAAAACAGAGTCACGTTTGCTTCTGGAGCTTGGAAATTAATTTGCAAAGCTTACCTAACCTGGTTGTTTGTTTGAAATATATGTATACTATTGCCTTGCGAAAAAAAGCCCTTGAAATATACTTTACTGGTCCTCTTTTTCTCTGCTATAGAAACTTAATTCTATTCTTTCAATGTAATATGCTGCACTTGGAAGCCTCTGGGGGCTGAAGAAACAACAACAAAAGCAACAATAATAGCCATACAAATGTAGCTGTAAACACATTTCCAGTTTTGAAATACGAGTATGTTTTATGTGCTAGTGAGTTCTACTACCATTTAAAAGGTGGGCTGCTGCTCTTCTGGGTGAAGTAATTCACCAGTTTCTTTTTAGCTAGAGAAAGGCTGGACTGGAAAGATTACAAAATTGGAGGACTTGGGAACTATTTATGAGTCCCAGGGCTGTAATTTGTTAATGCAGAATGTACACTACATATATTCTTCAAACTTTAAGATTCTTCTGCTTGTATGTGACAAAGTGGATTTTAAAAACTCCCTCATCTTATACTAAGTATGTTAGGCTTGCAGGTGCTATTAATTTTTTGTTTTGCTGCAACAGACTTGGCACAGCTGCCACTTGGAAACAGCTGCTAGTTCATACAAGTTGACAAGAACCGGAAGGCATACTTCGTACAATATATGCTGGCCTGTATAACTGTCCAAGTTAAATTACGGGGTTCCATAATATTTTATATAGTTTATGAAGCTACAATTTTAACAAACCAACTAAAGTTTTGCTTGATTCCTTGGAAGAAAGTCAAGAAATGGAATGTTTATATGCCTTCAAGTTACTTGTCTGTTGGAAATAGCAACCTTCCAAACCTCTAGTAACTGGTTGTAAATGTGTATAATTGTTAACCTATATTGTATGTACATTTTGATTTGCCAGTTTGACTGTACCTCTTTGGTGTGTGTGTGTGTGGGGGGGGGGGGGGGGGGTTCAGAATAGGACAACATTTTTGTTATATAGTATGTTTTTAGACCTCAGTGGTGGAGGATGCAGTTTGTCTCCTTTCAGACTTCAGTGAGTACAGTTATATAGTTTGGAATAATATGTCTATATGCTTAAAGACATTGGGCTATGGACTAGTATGCTGAATATATACAAGAAATTAGTTAGTAAACCTGAGATGTTATTTTTAAAGAAGACTACTTTGTTTTTGTCTCTTGAGTGCATATTTTAACTAAGAGGCTTCAAGGGAGTGTATATCTTTTGGGCAATTGCAACAGCAAATTTCATCTTTAAATAAACAACCATCCTCTGCTAACCCAATATATTTTTGTAGTGGCATGTCTTTATCCTTGGCAGCTTAAAGACATGGTTCTTCAATTTAACAACTGAGTTGCCTGTGTGCCATTACATTAATGCTTGTGAATATCACTTGTTCAAAAGGTTGACTTCTAACAAGGTCATGCTTTTCTTGACTAGTGGTTTTCAAAAGGTGGCCTTCACATGGTCATGGAGATTCACATTTGCCAAACAGACGTGACATCATTTTTACCATTTCAATAAGATTATGGTGCACTTATTTCCAATAGGTTAAGGAATTTCCAATACTGTCAATTCATAACAGCTTTGGTCCAGGCTATCTGACTGATCATATCTCCTTGTACAAAGCAGCCTGGGCACTGCGGTCATTGGAGAAGGCCCTGCTCTCGATCCCACCCCCATCCCAAGCTCGGCTGGTGGGAACGAGAGAGGGCCTTCTCTGTGGTTGTCCCCCTCCTCTGGAATTCCCTCCCTAAAGAAATAAAGCTGGCTCCCTCACTCCTCTCCTTTAAAAAAACGGCTACTGAAGACCTACTTTTGTTCACTAACATATGGAGAGGAGGATTAGATGATCAAGAGATCACTGCCGGGCCTCTGGTTGAGCACTCTGTGTATTTGGGCTTTCCTGGTCCACACCAGCCCAATGACCTTATTTGACTACATAACCAACCCACACCATTTTGTGAACCCTTGTTGGCTGTTGTACACTAATGTGGATGTTTTGTTTAGATTTATGTTATTATAGAATTCTGTCTGACATGTAAGATCAAGGTAAAGGTAAAGATTTTCCCCTGACATTAAGTCCAGTCGTGTCCACCTCTGGGGGTTGCTGCTTATCTCCACTTCTAAGCCAAAGAGCCGGCATTGTCCGTAGACACCTCCAAGGTCATGTGGCCAGCATGACTGCAAGGAGCACCGTTACCTTCCCGCCGGAGTAGTATCTATTTATCTACTCACATTTGCATGTTTTTGTACTGCTAGGTTGACAGAAGCTGGGGCTGACAGCGGAAGCTCATGCCACTCCCCGGATTCGAACCTGCAACCTTTCGGTCAACAAGTTTAGCAGCTCAGCGATTTAACCCACTGTGCCCCAGGGA